ACCCTCACTTGAATTCATGTAATTCAGTGTGAAGGGCTTGACGGTGGCGGGGGGGGGGGGGGTGACGTGATGAGTGCGTGGGCACAGTGTTGCCCTGAGGGACGAGGGGTGTCTGGGACTGGACCGCAGGCGGGTGCACGTTGCCGTTCCCGCCAATACCACGGGCGTGCACACTTTAAATGGTGACGTATACGTTGTGTGCAGTTCACCTCGATAAAAAACAAGGTGCTGACAGCAGAGGCGGGGCACGGCCTCCCGGCGGATGTTTCGGGGTGTGGGCGCCACATCGAAGGTCCTGAGCCTCTTCAGGCGGTGCCCAGACACTGCCCGGAAGCACTGTCGACTGTCTGGCCTCCGCCCGGCGCGCACCGACCACGGAGCCCGTTCGACGCACACGGTTCAGACTCCACAAACAGGAGGGTGTCCCGCTTGAGCTCGTGGTGGGACCTCCCGCAGGGGTGGGGCCGCCCTGGCTACTGACAGGTCAGGTCGGGGAGGAAGGTGACAGAAACCCAGGCTTCGCGACTCCAGCGAGTTTCCTCAATCGCCCCAACAGTCGTGAGGTCCTGCCCTCAGAGCCTGCCCGGCCACAGCGGACGCCTCTCACGACTCACCCGGCGCCTCGCCCCCGTGGCGACCACGAGCGAGAGTGCCCTGGAGGAGGTTGGGGACCATTCCAAAGACAAGGACGTTCTCAAGGGCACGCGCTCCGCTCCTTCCTCCCCTGGGATTTCTGAGCAGAGCGCTGCCGCCCCGCCCAGCGCCTTCCCAGGGGGCGCCCGTGCCCGCCGGCCCTCTGCCTGCCTTTTAGCTGCGGACGCCGCCCCGCGAAGCCCTGGGTGTCCCACTGTGCTCGGCTCAGCAAGGACAGGACGTCCGCCGTCAACTCACGCAGCGCCCCAGCTGGCTCACAGCGAGTCCTGCGGGCGACACGCCTGCCCTGGCACCAGGTGGATTCAGGACTGCGCCTCACCAGGGCCAGAGCGGAGCTCGTGTCTGCCAGGCACACCAGCTCCTGCGTCTGGTCCGGGCCTGCCGGAGCCTGGCTCCCGCCGAAGTGTCCACTGCGGTCGGCTGCCTCCTGTGCGGGCCTGGCGGGGCGGCTCTGCCCTGGTTAGCACCCCTCTGCCGTGGCCGGAAGGGACGGCCGGGGACGGTGGCGGGGACAGGGCCGGACGCACCCAGCAGAGTGGCGAAAGGATAACGAGGGGGCAGTGGCTCGGGTCAGAGTGAGCCTGGCCCTACTCGGGGAGGCTTTGCAGGTGCAGCTCATGACGCGCATGTGTTCTCGAGTGGGTGGAACATTCTGGAACACACTGGGCAAGGCAGCCCACGTGGCAGCTGTTACGCTAAACCGGCTGCCTGATATGAGCCTGCCCCTCCTCCCTGGCTCTGGCTCTGGGGCTGTTAGGACCAGCCCGGCCCCAGCTGGCTCGAGGTCCCCCCTGTAAGTCCCTGCCGGTGGCAGCGGTGTCATAGGCCCTTGGCCAGGGCAGCCACCTGGACCCTGTGCTCAGAGGGCTCGGGCTCGGGGCTGAATGCTCCGCAGTCGTCCTGCTGAAATTCTGAGCAATGTCATCCCCGCATTTGTGCTTTGTTAGTGAGGCTGGGGGGACAGCGAAGCAGGTGCTGGAGGCCCCACCCTTCTGTCACCTCTCCTACCGCCTCCGACTGCACAAGGCAGGAGAGCAGGTCATATTTCAGCACCTTGAACAGCACCTCGCACTGCCTTTTGAAAGAGGGGCCTTGTTTTCCTTTGGCACAGGGCCCTGGTGGAGAAGCAGAGGCCTGCGCTCAGCCAGCCTGCGCCGGGCACCCTGGCCGTCAGGCCGCCGAGGCTCCTTGGGGACGGGCCACATGACACCCTGTGTGAGCAAGCCCATGGCCAGCCTCCGAGCCACCCTGCCTGCAGCAACCCCCTAGCCCAATGGCCACGCGGCTCTCTCCTTTGCCGCTTTCCCCCAACTCAAGCGTGTCCTTGGGCCCCGTCCCTGCCCCCCTGCAGCTCTGGACCAGACACGCAGAGGCGGGGAGTGAGCATCTGCCAACGTCTACAGGGACTTGGCAGACTGCTTTCAGTCGGTGGAATCTAACCCCACAAAATTAGGACTCGTGCCCTGGCCGGTCTTGCCCAAGGGTTAGAGCATTGGCCCGAGGACCAGAGTCACAGGTTCGATTCTAGTCAAGGGCGCGTACCTCCATTGAGGTTCATCCCCGGCCCTGGTTGGGGCTGTGCAGGAGGCAGCCAGTCGATGTGTCTCGTTCTCTCTCTCTCTCCCTCCCTCCCTCTCTTTTTCCCTCCTACTCTATCTGAAGATAAATAGAAAAACGTCCTTGGGTGAGGATTTAAAAAAAATAAATAGGACTTGTGTTTTTTTTTTTCAGTTCGTTATTCCTAGTAATGCAGTTTCATTGGATTTTAGAGCTGGCGACTGGAGGGGAGGTTCTGGGTTTTGACTCTGAGGGTGCTTGTTTTGTGAGCTTCCCTGATAACGTCTTTGCTTTGTGCCGGGAGGGCTGTGGTCCCACCCATGTTCTTTGACCGCCCCTGCCCTGCGCCAGCCAGCTGGCTTTGCCATCCTCTTGCACTGGGTGCGGATCTGAATAGGAAAAGCTCAGCCACATGCAAATTCATGAGCAGTCACATTTCCATATGAATGCAAGTGCTGCTGCATCCTGCCCGCATCCTGCCGGCGCTACTGCTCGGGACCAGCGTGTTTATATTCAAATTATACACTTTTCACCTTAAACGTCATGATGAAGCCCGGCAGTGTGGCTCAGTGGTTGAGCATCAACCCATGCACCAAGAGGTCACTGGTTCGATTCCCAGTCAGGACACGCCCAGGTTGTGGGCCCGATCCCCAGTGGGGGACATGCAGGAGGCAGCCATTCGATGTTCACTCTTATTGATGTTTCTATCTCTCTCTCCCTCTCCCTTCCTCTTTTTAAAATCAATAAAGAAAAAAAGTCATGATGAAATCTTCCAGCCATGGATCGAGAATATGTTTCAGCTAATCTGCTTTAGAAGTTAGCTATGGAGCCCTGGCCAGTTCGGTTCAGCAGTTAGAGTGTCGGCCCATGGGCCCATGGGTCTCAGGTTCGATTTCTGGTCAAGGGCATGCTGCAGGTTCAAGGGCTGCAGGTTCAATTCCTGGCCCTGGTCCGGGTCCTACGGGAGGCAACCAATTGATGTCTCCCCCCCCCCTCCCTATCTGGAGAATCACTGGCAAAGTATCCTGGGGTGAGAATTAACAAAACAAAACAAAAAAAATTATGTCAGCTATGGGTCCTTCTCATTTTCAAGGAGGGCCACCTCTCCGTGTCCAAAGGCGTCCCTTCCTCGGTGGTTAGGGAGGATGTGCTCAATGATAACTGCTACCTCAAGCTGCCTGTCGCCGAACCTCAGATGGTGGCCATCTGGGGAAGGTGCAGAAATGAAGTGGGTTCACTTAGGACCTGACCTGGGCGCTGGCCGAGGTTGGAGAGAAAGAATCCTCTGTGCGTTACTGAAGGGCCCGTTGCCGTGTCTGATCCCTCCCTTTGCCCAGGTGAATTAGAGAGTGAATGCCGAGGACAGAGCCCTGCGGTGAGCAGGCTGACCTGGGAGGGCACAGACCCACCCAGCCACTGTGACCCCAGGGCAGCGGAAGCCAGGACAGGGACCCAGGAGAAGGAGGCCGCTGGGCATGCAGGTTGGAGGTGGAGGACACAGGATGGAAAAGAGAAACCTGTGAACCGAGTGAATTGTGTGTAAGAAACTGTATATAACCCACTTGGCGTTTATGGAACATTTATTTTCAGTAGCAGGAAACTTTTTATTTAAAAAAATTTCTTTTTTCTTTATTGATTTTAGAGCGAGAGCAAGGGAGGGGGAGAGAGAGATAGAAACATTGACGAGAGAGAACAGTGACTGGCCGCCTCCTGCGTGCCCCTCACTGGGGACCGGGCCCACAACCTGGGCATGTGCCCTGACCGGGAATCGAACCAGTTGTAAGGAATCGGGGGGGGGGGGGGGGGCGCCGCCGAATAACACAGAGAAGAGACTGGAGAGCCAATCAGCCGAATAAACAGGGATCAGGCTTTATTGGGTGCACTCCGGGCGGGTTCACAGACTCCGGGGGTCAGGAGTCCGAGAAGCCGCGCTCAATGTAGGGGCTCGTGTCTTTTATTTCTGCCTGTTGCAGCTGGAATTTGTCCCTTAGGGTTTGGCCCTGCGGGGACTATGCATGGAGCCTCTGGAATGTGAATCGATAAGAGCAAGATGGGAGTTAATCTACAAGCTCGAGGCAGGCCGTTCAGGGTGGGAGACAAGGCTGAGCAAGGAGACAATGGTCGAGCACTTTGCCTGGTGCCAGTCCCCAGGCTATCGGACACCTGTGACCTCTCGGTGCAGGGTCGAAGCTCAACCACAGCCACACTGGCCAGGCGGTAGGAGACTTTTTAAATGTGTCAGGAACTTACGTTATAAAAAAAAAAAGCCAGCCTGTTTGTGAGGACAACTGCCGTTGAGAAGACCCTTATCCTGTCTGGCCCTTCTCTGGCCCTCGTGGGAAGGATGCCGGTGACCTGACCTTGCTCTGGCCACTGCCCTCCTGCTGTGAAGGGCCCAGCCCCCTCTCAGTGCACCGGGAGTGCTGTCCCCTGGCAGCCCCCTGAGAAGAAGGTGCCCCACGCAGACTCAGACGCCTGTGTCTCAGAGTCTGAAAGCCCCAAGCCCCTGGGCACCTTCGGGTGCGCCTCCCGTGTGTGACAGGTCAGTCGAGGACAAACCCTGGGATATGCCTTCAGCTGATAATTTACAAAACATCCTGTACCGGGGTGGGGGGAGGGACGCGGCCTGCCCCCCAGCAGGGTGGCCCTTCTCTGCTAGAACAGGAAACCAAGAACGCACAGTTCTATTGGAAAGTTTTCTTTCCCTAAACTAATGGACGTGTGAGCAGGAACAATCTACATTCTGATTGAGTTTTTTTAAAAAACCTTTTTATTTCAAAGGGCAGATAAGGATTTTGCTAGGCAACAGCCCAGAGAACAGCGGCCTCCAAACAAGCAGTCTGTCTGAATAAATAACACACGCGCCTGCGCTGCTAGGCTTCTGGATGCAGGACACACCGAAATAAATAAGCCCGCCCCGGCGCTCAGTTCCAGGGGCCTGGCCTGCAGGGAGTGAACACCTTCCGCGCTGGGAACCCCTCCGCGGCCAGGCCCCTCCAGGCCTCTGCCCGGCCTTCCCAGGCCCTGCAGGGACCAGCAGCATTGGGGCCCTTGGGGCTGGGGTGACAGGAATCTCCGGGGAGCCCTGGGGCTGGCGTTCCCAGCGCCTCGGACCCACAGGCTGGGGCGGCTTCATGGCTGCTCACGTGTCACAGTGGTTTTCAGGGGGGCCCAGAGGAGGAGGTGCTAGGAGCCTGGCTTCACGGTTTCTGACCCGCGCCAGGTTCCTGTGCTTTGGGAGCGGGGCTCTTTGCTGGCGTCTTCTCCCCTGCGCCGCTGTACCCAACTGTCTTCCACGCGGCCCGTCCTGGTGTCGTGGGAGTCCCCCGAGAGGCCTCGCCCCGTTCTAGCATTCTACACGGAGGGCACCAGTGCCTCACACCCGCAGGAGCCCGTGCCCGAGCCACGGCGACGGCGTTCCCCCTCGCCGCCCCTCGGCTGTCCAGAGTAGTGCCGGTTCTCACGGCGCCTTGTCTGTTCCGGGGGCGTGTGCACAAGGCGAGGGAAGTCATTCTTTCCAACACAGGATCCTTTCCTGGACCTCCTCCTTGAAAGACAGTTTGAAGGACAGGCCCGGCCTCCCTCTGCGGGACTGAGTGGTCAGTGTTCCTTAAACCTGGGACAAGGATAAAACCGCAGGTGGCTACCCCGGGGCAGTCCGAGGACCTGGACAGCCCCTCGGGGAGCCAGCTCCCCACTGCTGCCCTCCCTGCCCGCCCCCCAGCCCTGGGGGACGGGGAGACCTGCAGGGCAGCAACTCGGGGAGCCAGCTCCCCACTGCTGCCCTCCCTGCCCGACCCCAGCCCTGGGGGACAGGGAGAGCTGCAGGACAGCCCCTCGGGGAGCCAGCTCCCCACTGCTGCCCTTCCTGCCCGCCCCCAGCCCTGGGGGACGGGGAGAGGGGAGAGGGGAGACAGGAGGGGCCGGAGGCCAGGCAGAGCTCTGTGGCCCCACCTGTGTGGAAGCCAAGCCCACAGAGAACAAAGGAGGCAGATCCCCTCAGCCTTGGCTCAGACCTTGAGGAGAGAGTACCAGGATTGCAGCCACTCCAGGTATTTACTAGAGAAGGAACAGGGGCGCGGGCGAGTGCGGATGAAAGGGGAGCCCCAGCTGTCCGTGGAACAGCCAGGTGCGGAGGCAGACAGTGGGTGCCGCTCTGAGCTCCCATCGTGGGGAGCAGGCCCGGGAGGACTTACGGAACTTGATCCCCCGCCGCTGACCCTGGGCAGCTCAGCTCCTTGTGTATGAGGCGGATCAGGAACTGCACCCAGGACAGAACAAGAACACCCGTTACCGCCCCGACACCGCGGGTGCCCACGCTGGGCACCAAAGCCCCGGCCCTGCCCCCGCTGGAGCCTGGCTGCCTGCGGCTCTCTGAGCACCACCCAGGGGGTCAGAACAGATGCCCTACAGCCCCCCGCAGAGCAGCGGGTGCCCCCATCCGCAGAGCCGCCTGCCCACCCGGGGCCCAGCGCACAGTAGCCACTGTGGAGGCCGTGCGGCTGGAACAGCCCCTGGGGAACAGCCATGTTGAAGACAAAATGAGTCCAACCATAAAATGTTCAAATTGGAAAACGACAGAAACTAAAGACAAAGTGACCCACAACCATGGTGGCACAGGGGAGGGCCAGAGAGCTGCGCAGGTGACTCAGAGCCAGGTGAGCCTTGGCAGCCACGGGCACCGGGAGGCCGAGAGGTGTCCCGGGACCAGCCTGCTGGCCGGACCGAGCTCACCGCGGGGAGACCACGCAGCCGGGCCTTCCCTCAGCCCCGCGTACAAGTCCAGACTGAGCATTGCCCTGATTTAACCGTTGTCTTGGTTTCTCTAGTCTTTTCCCCCAAGTGTGACAACAGCCCTGACGCTTTGAACCCCGAGGGACATCCTGGGCCCGGGGACGCGCCAGCCGGCGAAGGGGGTGCGGTGCTGAAGGAGGATTCGGAGCGCGGGAGAGGGTCAGCCCAGGGACGGGAGAGCCGGGCTGCCCCGTCTGACCACACGCACGGGCCGCCCCCCGCCCCCCGGGTGACGGGCCCGGATCCGAAGCCCGGGGCTCCTGCACTTGGCCTCTGCATCCTGCTGGTGACACGTGCAGCAGACGGACGCTTCTGCTTCTGACTTTGTTTAAACCACAGAGAGGAAGGGCCCTGGGCAGCGACACTTCGAGAGGTGGGCTACGCCCGGGCCCAACGTCTCCAGAGCTGTGGGAGCCCACGGGGAAGGTGACGCCAGGGCTCGTGGAGGGCTGCGTGGCCGAGGGCTCAGCGACTTACCAGTAAGGCACAGGCGTCCGCAAACATCAGCATGTAGAACACGTTGTTCCAGCCCGACGGGGAGATGAGCCCGGCCAGCAGAGGGCCCAGGGCCGCTCCTGAAACGGACAAGGGGGCACCGGTGTTGCCGCCTGAGGCCGAGTCTGGAACAGGGGTGTCTCAAGCACCCGAGCCCAACAGACCCACAGAACGGGGCTCCAGCCCTCACTGATGATTCAGCAAAAGCACCGGAAAGCAAGACCTTCTCATTCTCGCCTGTCAGATTGGTGAGGGGTAAAAAGCGTAATTATATTCGATGTGCTGAGGGCGTGATTGGCGTAACCTGTTTCTAGAAGCAAATCTAAAATATGTATTGACATCAAAATGCTCATTATTTGGATCCAATAATCCCATCTAAAAATCTTATCATAAAGAAATCTGAATCTAATGTATAAGAATATTATTCGGAGAAGTCTGAGTAAGGTGTAGATGCTCACACTGTACGGATGTTAATTTCCTGGTTCCGGTCACTGCACTGTGGTTATGTCAGGGAGGCCCTTGTTTTCGGGGAGTACATACTAACTGCATAGTTACTGGTGAAGAAGGGGCAGCATGTCTGCAGTTTACTCTTAAGTGGTTCAGAAAAAAATATGCATATGTATCCATAAGTGTACATGCCTGTGTATATGTGTGTTATACATGTGTGTGTGAGACAGAGTGGGGGAGATGATGAGGCAGACAGTGTGAATTTTTTGTATTTGTTTGCAATTTTTAAGTCTGAAACTACGACAAAAAAACTACGAAAAACTATAAAAAGCAAAAGAAAGCAAATGTTCCTCAAAATACTCGAAGACACCAGCTGCCAGGCTCGGGGGTTTGTTCTCCCGCAGGAGATGGAACGGCTGACACGGGTGCGGACGGTGTACTCGTGGCGTGGGGAGACGTGGGACGTGTCCGCACCGAGCTGTGAACTGCGGTCTCGCCGCAGAGACGGAGGGGACGCGGCTCCTCCCCCCGGCTCCTTCGTGGACGGACACTCCGGCGCCCTTGCAAAGAGTACTCACTGCTTGTGCAGTCTGAGGAGCGACTGTAGTTTTCTGTCTCAGAGGAACTTCCAGGCAAACACGGCAGATTGTTCTCAACCTCCCGAACACCACAAAATGGACCACAATTGAATTTAAAAAGTGATAAACCCACACAGAGAAGGGCAGATGAGAGAAGGCCCTTTGGGGGGGATGGGATGTAAAGGCTATGACAACAGTCATGGTGTTATTCCCTTGCTCTAGAGGAAGATGGCCAGGGACCCCCTGCTCAGAGCTAGGCCCCCCAAGTGCAGGAGGAGGGGGCAGGGCAGGGGGCAGGGGAGGAGAGCAGGAGGTGGGGGCAGGGCAGGGGGCAGGGGAGGAGAGCAGGAGGTGGGGGCAGGGCAGGGGGCAGGGGAGGAGAGCAGGAGGTGGGGGCGGGGCAGGAGGCAGGGAGGGAGAGCAGGGGCGGGGGCGGGGGCGGGGCAGGAGCAGGGATGTAGGGCAGGGGCTGGCTGTGATCTTGTATAAAGCACCTGCCCCTGCAGGAGAGCAGCAGCTTGACCTTTAGAGAATTTGCACCTGAGGCTCTGGGCTCTGGGACACCAAGGCCAGGATAGGGCGAGATGAAGCCCCAACTGAGCACAGGGGGTGCAGGGAAGGCCAACAACTTCCAGCAAAGCCCGTGGGCACTGGGGGCACCTCCTCCAGATTCCAGGTGGACCCCACTACCTGAAGACCAGCAGTGACCTGCCCTCCCCTGCAGAAAGGCCTCAGGCGCTAGCGGCTGGCTCATCCTTAAGAATGAATATGTGAAGGGTCGGCAAAGACTCCCTGTATCTGAGGAAAGCTCAACAAAAGCAAACAGACTGGGAGGAGGGGAACCTACAGGAAATAGACAGACTGGGGAGAAGAAAACTCCCGGGAAATTATAATAATTACAGTACTCTCAGAGAACTATCGGACAACGAGGTTGAACCATACAGAACTTTCCACTTCTGTATCTGAAAACCAAGTCAGTGTGGGCCATCCCCCAGGCCCGGTCGCCCACGCGCGGTCTCCACGCCCGGCCGCCAGGAAGTAGGAGCAGACAGCCCACCAACACTAATGAACACTAACACCACCAGGGCCGAAGTGACAAGTTCAGCACAGAGGCTGGGAAGTGAAGAACATCCTGAGAAAGTAGAAGAAAAATACAAAGGTACAGGCAGGAAGGAAAAGAAAGAAAGAAGAGAAAATTGAAGGAGTAATCCAGAAAGTTCAACATCTGAATGATAAATTTTCCAGAAAAAAAAAAAATGCACAGAAAATAGTAGGAAAAAAGTATCCAAGAAGAATAGAACCCTGTGTCGCAGAGACGACGGCCGTGTGAGCAGACTGAGTGGGCCCCCGGGTGCCCAGGGTGCGGGGGGTGAAGGAAGACCCCAGAGGTGAAGGCGTGAGCCCGAGGTTTCCAGGGGAAACACGAGAGGTCAGAGATGAGGTCTGGACCGTGTGACCAGGGAAGCTGGAGGACGAAGGACCTTCAACCTCAAACCCTGTGTCGACAACTGTCCGTCAAGTGACAGCAGAATGCAAACACGCCTGACCTCCCAGTTCTCCAAATCCACTTCCCGTGACCTGCCACTCGGGAAGCTGCCGGAGACGTTTTCCACGGTGAGGGGCGGTAATACGGATCTGGGAAACCGGGGCCCTATGTGGGACGGGAGGAAAGGGATTCTGGGAGCTGGTGAAGCAGCTGGGGGCCTGGGACGGAGCATGGCCGTGGAGACTGCAGGGGACGGAGTGGAAGGTGCGTGACAGAGGGCTGGACGGCGGTGGTGGACGGGAACAACTGCGAGAGACACACACACGGAAGCAGGTGGTAGTTTGGGGGTTGCAAGCAGAATGTGCCTACGGGGGTACAAATGGCAGCTCGTGTCTTGGCTCAGGAGTGAACGGCGTTGGCGCAGCTGGGTGACTGGCGAGCACGTGGAAAGGGCGGATGGGGTGTGAAAGAGCCCCTGCACCCCGCCCGCCTCACCGGGAGGACAGCAGACTGTCAACAACGGACGGATCAAGGAGGCGAATATGTGTGTGGGACGATCAGGAAGGACAGCTCCAAGTGGCAGGTTCTAGAAAGAGTGGCCGAGGGGCCACGGGGCAGGGCACGGCCACTGGTACGATGACGAGCTTACAGGCCTGTCTGGTTTCTGAGGTTACAGTGCACCTCACTTTGCTGATGAAAACGAACCCGAACAAGCTCAGGGCCCTGCTCGTGAAGACCAGAGCAGCCCCACTGCCGCGGGCTGCGGTCCAAGCTCAGAAGGCACAGGCCGGACACACCGCGTCACCAGAACCCGTGGCTCTGTGCATCGGGACAAGGTGGCCGCTTAGCTGGGGTCAGCTAAGCTCTGAAACCGGTATTCACATTATGAAGACACCGGAAAACTCTCTCGTGAGAGGATTTTTCGCTAAACATTGTGCGTTTCCCCTGGAGCCTGTCCCTGCTTGGTCTAGGCGGGCGGGACTTCCGGAGAAAATGCCGGAGACGCGGTGGACCAGCGTGTGCCGTTTCCATGGCGACCATTTCCTGGGGCCCTGTGCACTGGAGCTGGCAGAGCCTGGAAGTCGGGGTCGCTGCCAGACCTGAGTGTGGGTGTGACCGTCCACCGCGTCAGCAAGCGCTGCGGGTCAGCGAAGAGGTCAGACAAGGTGGCCTTTGCTGTCCCCTGCGGGCCAGGGCCGTTCAGAGTGGCCCCTTTACAGACGCAGCGACTCCCCTTGGCCAGGGACTCTGTTCCCTTTTGCTCTGAGAACACCAAGCACAGTGTGTTTCCACCCACTTCATGCTTCCCTCTGCACCCCGTCTTTAGCTCTGTAACAGCCAGCGGGCTCCCCCGTGGGCCGTGCACTGACTCGCGCGAAGGCCTCTGGGTCGCAGCCCCAGGTCATTGGAACGGAGCTCGCCCGGGAGTCCTGGCTCGGCTGAGCATGTCTTCTGGCTGTGGGACGTTTCTCGTGGGCGACGACACCCACCTCCCCTTTAGACATGTCTGCGGGCCCCAAGGGACGCCCCAAAAGGGAATGGTCTCACTTTAAAATAAACATCAGAGAGGTGACCACGAACACCACCCAGCAAATTCAGAGTCAGCCCTGGCTCCAGCAAAATGAAGGAACCGCGAGGAGGACAAAGCGGGGTTGCCGGGACCCCGGGGGACAGCGGAAGCTTGAGCCCAACTTCTGAACAAGGGCTCCAGGACCTCCGGCAGCGAGCTGTCACCGTGTACACGAAAGCTCGAGAAAGATCAAGGACCTCCTGTGCCACCAGCCCTGACTGGCTAAGAACAGGCTGGCGGCCACCGGTTCCCGCCAGCCCCTCCGGGGGTGAGCTTCACAGTTCACCACCTTCCTGCCCTTCAGAATACGCTACTGAACTCTCTCCAAGAACCTCCGTGAGGCTGCTGACGCTCAGAATCTGGCCGGCTTTGGCACCCATTAGTTTCCCTGCCACTTACATTTAAATCAGGTTCTGTCCTGGAGATGACAGAGATGGAGTCACTTGACCAGTGAGTGGGCCATGGCCTGGCTGTAGTTTGCCAACTGATGGCTCTAATGAAAACCTGGGTTCTTTCACGGCGACCAACACTAGTTCCCACCAGCCACCCGGCCACATTGTCTCTGGAACCATCTGACCAAAGAGGACAGACGGCACCGCGCGCCCTTGTCCCCTGGGTTTGCACTTTTGATCTGTTCGTATTTTAAGAAGGCCAGTTGATCCTAATATCACCACAGCAACTGGGATCATGGCATCTGTTAATCAGGATGTGACAAGGCAGTTCCCCTGTGACCACAGTTAGCTTTTAGAGTTAAAAATCGCCACGTACCTACAGATCCAGTTCCGTCGATGATGGCGGTCACAGTGGCCAGGGCGTGGGAGTTTCCCTTCAGACTTTTATGAGTGCCCTGAAGAGAGGGGAGACCAGGTGTGAAGCATGTCCCAGCAGCATCAGAAGGCGCTGAGAAATAATCCCGGACTTCCACATGGGGATTTGCCCAGTGATGTGGCAGGACCTCGGAACGTGGGGCATTTTCCATCAGAACGCGCCTCGGGAAGGCAGGCGGTTTCAGGGGTTATTCTGATAGTTAAAACCTTCAGAATACTTGCTCGAGCACATTCTAGTTTAAGATCCCTTAGAATTCTCTCCAAATAGAAAATATTCAGCACGATAATCGCCATCACCGGGGCACGCGGTGGCCAGAGAACCACGAGAGATGAAGGCCACGTGTCCCCCCCTAAGCTGTGGCAGCGTTACTGTATTCGTGTCCACCTCTACACTTCTGCTCCCCGTGACAAGGGTCAGGGAGCTCTGCAGCATCTAAAAACCAGCCCGCTAGTGACAAATGCCGAGGAGGCTGGGGCAGGGGCAGGACCCATGTCGGTTTACAGAAAGCGACACACAGGGTTGGGGAGAAAAACAGAAACGGGGGATGATAAAAGGAAAGAAATACGTCAGGAAACATGATGCCTAGAAACCTAAAACCGCACAAATAAATCAAAGCCTGTAATATACGAATGTGCTCGTGTGCATATGTGTGCAAAACAAAGCGTACACGCAGTGGCAATCACCCGCGACCCACGTTTCCTGAGTCTGGAAAGGACGTGAAAGTCCCTTCTGAGCCCTCTCATCTCTCGGGGCAGACCGCTGCTGCGGGTCTGGGGTGGACCCTTCTGGAATGTTCTGTGCTCACGTGGACAGGAGCATGGACACGCTTCACAAAGGCAGTCTGAGGAGCACTCTCTCCACACATGGCTGAGCCACAGGTCAGTGGCCTGGTGCACACGAGGATGGGAAAAGCCCAGCTTCCAGCGCCCTTTACGCTGCGAATCCCCGCAGAGCTGGGCGCAGGGTGGCTGGCGCTCCCGCCGCGAGGATAGCGCACTGGAGCGGCTGGTTGTCACGGGGGCCGGGCCAGGCGGAAGCGGGGCTGCGGCCCCTCAGCACTGATTCCAGAACTGCAGGGGGTGGGCCTGCTGTGGTTCCTCAGCAGGAGAATGAGCTGGAGGCTGGGGCTGGGGCTTCCGGGTCTGGTTCTCGAAGGACTTTGGGGTGATGCAAAAGAGCACGGGAGCCAGCAGGGGAGCCCAGGGACTCAGAGCCGGGGAAAGGGCAGACCAGACGGCCGAGAAGCCGGCCCCCCTGCCCACGGGCATCAACTTCTGGGGAACTGCTTTTGGTGTTAAATGACCTTTTAATGTTTGAGTGTCCTCGATTCACAGGAGATTTGCAGAGAGCACACGGAGTTGCTGTATGCACCTACTTCCCTCCCGTGTTAATATCGTACATTGTTATGCTGCGTTCGTTAGGGTTAACCGCCCAGTACTGACATGCTACTAACTGAAATCGCTTTATTCAGATATAACTGGTCTTTTTACCCAACGTTTAATTCAATCCGTTTCTGTCCCGGGATCCCATCCAGGAAACCACACGACACTCAGCCCTCATGTCCCTTGGGCTCTGGGCTGTGCCGGTTTCCCGGACTCCCCTTGTTTCCGGTGACCCCGGGGGTTTTGAGGGGTAGGATGACCCTCCCCTGGGATCTGTCTGATGTTTTCCTCATGATTCGATGGGGTGTGGGTTTTGGGAGGCCGTCTACAGAGATGAAGTGCCATTTTCAGCACTTCATATCGAGGGATTGTATCTACATGACTGTCACTGTTGACATGACCATGACCACCGGCAGAGGTCGGGCCTGCCAGGGTCTCTGAGTCGAATTACTCTTCCCCGCCCACACTGTCCTCTGTGGAAGGAGGTGGACACAGCCCACGAAGGAACGGAGGCCCGCTTGCCCCTGGCCGGCAGAGGGTCTGCACACGTTCTTTTGTCCCCGACATGTCTCTTCTCTCCATGTATCTATGGAAACGAGTTTCTAAAAGGGGACTATTTCAGTGCTGTGCTCCCTTCAGGTGTCTGTGTGTGACTGCTGGGTGACATTTGTCCTTCACGGCACAGGTGAGGATGGCCTGTTGAACTGGGGCTCTGCGACCGGGAGTCACCTGCCCCCTGGTCAGCAGTCCCTGTGGATCCCAAGGCCGAGGGTGGTCCCTGCCACCACGGCATTGACATTACCATCCCGCGCAGTAACTAGGTGGCTTCCTGTCTGGAACATGTCCTCCTGGGGCTGGGACGCCATCTGGCTCGCCGGCAGTCCCCACACCAGCAGACGCTCAAACACAGAGTGGGCGCCCAGTGTGGGCCGGGTGAGGGGAAGAGCCGACCTCACCGCCCTGGCCCGGGGCAGGCTCTGGGGCACACGGTCACACGCTTCCCAGGCCCGAGAGGGCGGCAGAGAGGGGTGAGCCAGGCCACTGGCTTGGAGGAGTCCTTCCAGCTCCCCTCAGCCTCCTCATCTGCAGAATGGGGACTGCCACTTCCCCTTATTTGCTAAGAATACTCTTAAAAGGATAGATACTGGTCATCTTTTAAAAAAAGTGCTTCTAAACACACACCATCATACTAACAGAGACCAGCGCTGTCATGAATGGAGGAGGCGACCACCACGGCCAGTACTTGCCCCGACGCCAGCCCGCCCCGGCTCTATGCTGAGGTGCGCGGCCACTCACCAGGTCGGCGGAGACGGCGGTGGTGATCAGCGCGTATGGCCCGCTGACCAGGGCCCCACAGAGCAGCAGCATGGCTGTGGGGACCAGAAACCGGAGGCAGCATTTAGTGAGAGGAACAGGGCCCCCTGGAGAGCCTCCGAGGTCCCAGCAAACCCCTAGGTGGGAACCCTGCCATCACCAATCAGTCCTGGCCCCAGTGGGACGCTGGGAAGGTGGCCCACACATCCGCACATCCTGGGGGTAACTGCCAGGGCAGGTGTCATAAACATCTTCCTTCAGACTCGCCCCGAGATGTGCTTTGTAAGTCCAGCGACACGTCCCCACCGGCTGGGCCGTGCTCAGACCTGCAGCTCCGTTCCGCTCCCTGGGCAGCAGCTGCTCACACACTCAGAGGGCGAGAACCTGGTGCTCTGAGCACACACGTGGCCCAGGCAGCACATGCTCCCTGTCGCCTGTCGGCCACCACCAGCCACAGCCTTATCTGCAGGGGAAAGGACTCTCTGCACCCAGTGCTGACGGCAGCCCCCCAAGGGAAACCGGCCCCCACGCAGCCGAGTTCCCCGAGGCAGGGCCACAGCGTGTCTCTGACATGCACAGTTACCTTCCTAAACCGTCCCCCAGTTCACACTCTGTGCAGAAGCTTTTGGACCCAGGGGTAGCAGGAAACTCCGTGATCACCCCCCTCTCCCCAGCAACCTGACTTCTGGTAACTCAGTGGGATCACACACAGCCTTTGCCCGCCCCCTCCTCCACCCCCCGCCCCACTGCTGGCTGGTTCAGGTGGAAACAATATTTCTAAGAATCAGAGCCATAAGTTGATAGTGTGGCCTGCAGGAAGTTAAAAATAGTCCTCCGATGTTACACAACTGCCCCAGCACGGCTCCAGTAGGAGCCAGCTGGAGAATGGGCTGGGAGCCTGACCCGCCCTGCTCCTGCCTGCTTCGCACCTGCCGGGGTGCGGCCTGCTGCGTCCCAGGTGACAGCTGGCTTCTGCGATGGCTCCTCGCCACTGGGTGCCAGGGCTTAGCACTGCCAGGCGGCCTAACCTTCCCATACTCAGGTGGTCAGGCCTGGTGCCTGGGAGCAGGAGGCCCCCCCAAAGAGGGCCACGGGTGTGGGTTCAGCCTCCCCATATGCTCCAGTTCCACCAGCTGAACGCTCCTGTAATTTTCCGTTCATCTCACCGGGCTGTGTGGTCAAAGGCGTGTGGAGAATGAAAGGCCTGCGGACTCACCTACGGTGGCTTCCAGGCCCATCCTGCTGATGGTGGAGAAGACGTAGAGCTGTGAACGGGCGAAAACAGTAACGACAACGGCTCGCTGCCGTGGCTGGGGCACCCAGGGGTCTGTTTCTGAGAAGCCGCGCGGGTGACTCCCGGCAGCCAGCTGGGGAGGGGACAGCCCGGATGGGACGAAGGCCATGCTCCCTAGCTGGGCGGCTGAAGACAGGCGTCTGCGGAGGGGCCGGCACTGAAGCCACAGGCCTTGTCCCAGACACGTGGGTCCTGATCACGCCGACCGAGCTGGCGGGCCCTGCGGTGCCTCCCTCTCTAAGCTCCTGGGCCAGAGGATGGGGTCGGGACAGTTCTCTCTGAGTCTAACCATCACCTCACCAGCTGCGCCTGGGGAAGCGGGAGTCCCGAGGCAAGGGGGCCACACCCAGTGGGCAGGGCCCACCACCCCACGATGACTGAACACTAGTCCTTGTTCTGGGGACAGTCACATCCCAGCGGAGTGGCAGACAGCCGAATAATTACAGTGCCAGTCGATGAGTAACAACGTGGTAAGTCACTGTTGTAAAGACAGTAACGGTGTAACGTTTCACTGAACCCTCACATTGATGATGGGGTGCTACTTCTGTCATCCTCATTTTGCAGACAAGGAACAGCACAGACAGGGCCAGTCACCTGCCCAGGGCCGTGCACTGCTGAACACTTACAGCGCAGTATGAACCGGCTGTGAATAGGACGGCGGTCGGCACTGAGGGGAGGTGCGGAGGGCGCCAGGGAGGAGTGAGAGCCTGGGGAGGGCCCCGAAGTGCAGGGCGGGAGGCAGGGGGAGGGGAGGCTCTGCGGCCACAGGGCTTGCTGGTGGGGAGGACGGAGGGTGGCTGCTTCCAGAGGCAGAGGTGGGGGCAGGCTCACCGTGGGGGCTGCGAGCAGGAGCATCAGCCCGCAGGTGGAGGCCCTCTTCTCCAGTCGGTCTGAGACCACCCCGGCCAGGATCCCACCTGCAGTGCAGAGGGGCGGGTCCTGAGGGGCGGGTCTCCCGGGCGAGGCCCCAGGGAGAGGAAGCAGAGGTAGTTACAGCAGCAAGGAGACAGTGAGTCCATCCCGGTCAGCAGGGAGCCACCCCAGCAACGCCCGACCTCTGAACTCGCCTACATGCTTGTGGCCGGACATGAGTGACCGGAGGGACCTCCCGGTGAGACGACCCGGGAGTCTTGGGGCCTGGTCTTAGGCTGGCCCCAAAGCCCCTTCTCCTGTTAGGGTGCTAACACCGCCCGTCTGTCGCCTGCTGTGTGCACCTGTCTCTGACAGCGCTAGTGCACGTTCAGTCAGGGCCCGGACGCAGGAGGGACCCCGTCCACGCAGGGGATACATCCCGGGAACACCTCTGCGGCAGTAAGTCAGCTCGAAGGGATCCGGCCCCGGGTGTCCACAAGCCACCGTCATAGGGCAGTGGAGCCGTGGCGACGGACTCACCGAAGATCCCGCCCACGTCAAACAAGGTGGACAGCTCCCCCGCCTTCTTGGCGTCCAGGTGATCTGTTAGAAGGACACGCGTGTGTCTGTGAGCAGGGTCCTCACTCACACCCTTTGTTTCTCCGGCATGATTCAGATCAGGGAGCAGGGAGCTGAGTCAGGTGAAGGAGACAAGCAGCCCCCAGGTGGGCAGACACCAGGAGGGATAAAACTCAGCACTCCTAACTGAAACGGGGATTGGTCCGCTGGGCCTACCTGCACCCCACCGCCGGGCCTACCTGCACCCCACCCCTGGGCATACCTGCACCCCACCCCTGTGCCTACCTGCACCCCACCGCCGGGCCTACCTGTACCCCACCGCTGGGCCTACCTGCACCCCACTGCCGGGCCTACCTGCACCCCACCGCTGGGCCAGTGCAGCCGGAGTCACATGCGGCTCAGGACGGAAGTGGGGTCTCAGACAGGGCAGGAACCTCCGAGCTCTTTGCGGCCGTCCCTCCCTCCCTGCCCTCCCACAGACCGTCCCTGCTAACAAGCCGGCCCCTCCCTGTCTCCTGTGACATTCTGCCTTCCTGCCTCGGGCTCATGTCCTTCTCTGCCCGTCCTCATGACACTGCTGGGACCATGTGGCCCGCACTCTGCAGACCTGCATTCCACAGTTCTCTTTGTCACATTCCGCAGAGCCCACACCTCAGGGGGACACCCAGAAGCCGGGGGCCCTCCCTGGGGTCCCGCCCTGACCATCCCCACCTCCTTTCAGCCGAGGCTGCAGCCCCTGGACTCGGAGCTTTCCCCTCAGGCACTTCTGGACGTCCCCTCGTGTCCCTCCTGCTGGGGCCACACACGGCACAGAAGTGCACACTGCGAGCTGGAGTGTTCTCCACACCTGGACGCCCCCGTGTCCTTCCTGCTGTGCCACACACGGCACAGGAGTGCACACTGCGAGCTGGAGTGTTCTCCACACCTGGACGCCCCCGTGTCCCTCCTGCTGGGCCCACACACGGCACAGGAGTGCACACTGCGAGCTGGTGTGTTCTCCACACCTGGACGCCCCCGTGTCCCTCCTGCTGTGCCCACACACGGCACAGGAGTGCACACTGCGAGCTGGAGTGTTCTCCACACCTGGACGCCCCCGTGTCCCTCCTGCTGGGGCCACACACGGCACAGGAGTGCACACTGCGAGCTGGAGTGTTCTCCACACCTGGACGCCCCCGTGTCCCTCCTGCTGGGGCCACACACGGCACAGGAGTGCACACTGCGAGCTGGAGTGTTCTCCACACCTGGACGCCCCCGTGTCCTTCCTGCTGGGCCCACACACGGCACAGGAGTGCACACTGCGAGCTGGTGTGTTCTCCACACCTGGACGTCCCTGTGTCCTTCCTGCTGGGCCCACACAAGGCACAGGAGTGCACACTGCGAGCTGGTGTGTTCTCCACACCTGGACGCCCTCGTGTCCCTCCTGCTGTGCCCACACACGGCACAGGAGTGCACACTGCGAGCTGGTGTGTCCTCCACACCTGGACGCCCTCGTGTCCCTCCTGCTGTGCCCACACACGGCACAGGAGTGCACACTGCGAGCTGGTGTGTCCTCCACACCTGGACGCCCTCGTGTCCCTCCTGCTGTGCCCACACACGGCACAGGAGTACACACTGCGAGCTGGTGTGTTCTCCGCACCTGGAGCTTCAGCCCTGCTGGACTCTGGACACAGACAAACTGCCTGCTCTTCCCTCGCGTTAGAGCGCATCCCAGGGAGCAATTTCCAGGTCGGACGATTAAACATTTATTTTCTCAGCTCCCCGGGCCTCCGCTCCTGCTCGCCAGCTGCTGTGACCCAAAGTCTGATGGACCCTAGAGTTAAATGCAGGCTACACCACAGGCTGTACCCCATGGAACTGGCAGCCACAGCTGGGACACAACAGGTCCACCCCTTAGCCCTGTCAAGGTTATTACTATGGCAACGAAACGTGCCCAGCCCAATTCCCTTTTTGTCTATACATTTCCACTAATATGTTGTTGGATTCAAAGGTGTGTCTCTTGCCCGGAGGGTGTGGCTCAATGGATCAAGCATCATCCCGTGGACTGAGGGGTCTGGGTTCAATTCCTGGTCAGGGCACATGCCAGGGGTGCGGGCTCGAGCCCCAGCTGGGGGTGTGCAGGAGGCAGCTGATCAATGTATCTTTCTCACATTGATGTCTAGCTCTCTCTCCCTTCCTCTCTTTATAGAAAAATCAAAACGTATTTTAAAGAAGTGTGTCTCTCACATCATCACACGCCATGCATGCTTCTTCTTGCCAAGTCTGGGAACCAGCAGGTGCGGGGAGCTCAGGTCACGGCCACGGCGCACAGGTACTCACCAACGTTTGTGATGTAGAGAGGAAGCCAGAAGAGGAAAGTGTAGCTGACCAGCTTTGCAAAGAGCAGACACAGGGAGAACTCGACCACACCCTGAGAGAGAGAGAGAGCGCCTGCTTATCCCAAAGATGTACTCACGGTGTTCATTTAAATGTGCAACAGAACCACAAATTCCCTGACTTCCATAAAACACCCACAGCTCTGGTCTGGTGCTAGCACCCCAGGCAGGCGGGGTGGTGGGCACGTGCAGCCCAGGCTGTGGGATCCCGGGACGCTACCCGCAGGCTCTTAGGCACGTGGCTACCCTTGGAGGCAGAGACCCGTCTTCACAGCAGCTCCGTTAGTGAAAACATGACACGGCCGCACACCACATCGCCCGGACGCTCAGCTGCTGGGCGCGCAGGGCGAAGGGGCGAGTCATCCAGTCTGAGTAGTTCATGGCTATTCCTCTCCCCTGAAACCCAAAGCACCCCACATTGAACAGTGACGGGAACACAGCAGACAACTGTGCCCATTCTGAAAGAGACACAGGGGTCACACACTGTGGGCACTGGGAGGACCCCCAGAAGAGCAATGCATATCTTCATGAAGAAACTGACGTTTGGCGTCGATGGCTACCCGGAAGGGCTGCTTGTGGTCCACGTTAGGTCCCTTTAGGAGGAGCAGGCACCTGCGGGACGGCAGTGCCAACGCCACCTGGGCGGTCTGGGAACGCAGGTCGCGCAGGGGTCCTGAATCCCTGCCCCTCCCCACACTGGAGGTGCGCAGACCCCGCACGGCAGGTGAAGCGCACGACACAGTCTACGTAAGTGATTCTGAAAGGACACGCGCTGATGTTTTCACAGGGGACACCCCGTAGGAGGATGTGTGATTTACTTTGTGCTCACCATGTACTTGGTGCTGTGCTCAGAGCTGCAATTAAATGGGCAATGGAATCATTGAATCCTTGGAACAGCACTGAGTCTGACGCTAGGCATGGAGCCTCCGTGGCTCAGTGGAGGCTCAGAGTGGCTGACACACTTGCCTGGGACACCCAGCTCGTTGGCGGCAGGGCTGGGGGGAGCCAGGCCGGGGCTCTGAGCCTGCTCTCCCCACGACCCCACTTGGATTTCTATTACTAGTGTGCTCTCCACTTTCGGCAGCAGTGTGTGAGGCAGCTCACAATAGGGTGCAACAGAAAGGTTACTAGTTGTTATCAACAACACGATTAAAAAATAACTTCCTATTTAAAACCGGTATCTCCTGCAGGCCACCCACAGAGCTCTTCCAGTGGCCTGGGCAGCCAGCTGGGCTTCAGGTTCTTTCCGACGCGGCCCCAGGGTTCCGGCTCATCTGCTCCGCAGAGTCCTCCGAACCCCCGTCACGTCTGTGAAGCGTGATTCTAGGCTTGGGGTGCGTGTTTACCTTCCAGCCCTGCACGGTCGCTAAGGGGCCTCCGGGTCGGGGTCCCTCTGCCCTTCATGGAGGATGAGCACTAGTGAGTGGGTGTCTGAGATGCACCTTGCTCCGCTCAGGGCGAGCACCCCAGGGCAGGGGCCCAGCGGATCCTAGCGCGGTCCGCAAGGCCTGGCCGGCACAGCCCTGGCGGCAGGCTCTGCTCTCCCTGCAGCCGCTTCTGCTCTTGCTCTCTGCCCCACCACCTCTCTGGGTGCCGTGTAAAAGAAAACAGCTTCTGCGTGTCCTCTGACAGTCCCCAGATTCTCTGCGGAAGGAGCCCATGAATTTGATACAGGACAACTCTAAAGAAATCTCCCCATAGCACACGGCCCCCAAGCCCTGCTGTGAGCACCTCTCCCCGAAGCTCCTTCACATCCCGGTCATATGCAAGTGCCCATCAGTGGGCACTGCGCATGCCTGTCTGCCCAGAGTCAGGACCAGCCGCTTCCCTGCAGACCAGCCCGCCTGAGTCTAAACGAGCCAGATTCTGCGGACCGTCAGTTCCGTCTGCACGCTCCCCTTGGCTCCTCCTCCGCTGGGGCACGCGTGGCTCAGTGAGCCCAGGTCTGTGCTCCTGAAAGCACTTCCATGGGTGACGAGTCGAGCAGGCTGGCCCCAGAACAGACTGCACTGCCTGTCTCCAGGGGCTCACTCAGCTCACTCAGGTCCTGGGGAGGCGGTGAGCAGGCTGGCTCGGGGGGAGGGGCGCAGGGGGGGCCTGCCCAGGGCGGGGGAGGCCCAGCAGAGCGAGTTTCTGGTTTTCCAAGTGAAGAGCAGAGGCCTGCTTTTCTAGGACATTTCTGCATTTCTAGATGGAGACCAGTAATTTCACAACTTTAAAAAAGGAACAGAACAGAACACTGTTGGGAGGTGAACAGAACGCTACAGGCTGCTCAGTGCTGAGCTGCCCGGTTGACTCAGTCTCTGCTGTGGTTCTGACCACTGTGTCACAGAATCATGACTGCCTCCCCTAAGCTTAGTTAGCAAGAGGTCGGGTTCTTGCCACCGTACGCCCAAATGCCCCTTTCGAAACTCCTCCCAGGCACACGTACTCACGGGGATTTTCAGGGCCCCGGTGAAGCTGATGGCCGCGCCGCTCGCGCCGTCGGCCGGGACCGTGACCACGTGGCTCTGAGGCACCGCGCGCTTTCCGTCTGCCAGCAGCAAGCACTGCATCTCCGGGTCCTGGGCGCCCACGGAAAGAGAAGGAAGGTCAGCGTGCCTCTGGCCAGGCCCGGCCAGACCCTGGAGACCAGGCTTTGCTACGGCCTGGCTGCAGTCGGTGCTCTGGAGTCATCAGCTTTCAAACCTTCGGCCAGCATTTCTAGGCATCTATTTGTGAAAAATAATTTGGACCCTGAAAAGATACTTTATACCTTTAAATGAACATCATACCATCATTGAGGAAAATAGGTCCAGTCCATCTGTATTAATGATATATCCTTTTTAAAAAAAATATTTTTCTCTTTTGATTTTAGAGAGAGAGATAGAAACATCAATGAGAGACAACATCAATTGGCTGCCTCCTGCATGCCCCCCACTGGGGATCGGGCCTACAACCTGGGCATGTGCCCTGAGTAGGAATTGAACCCGCGACCTCTTGGCACACGGGTCCACACTCAACCCCTGAGCCACACTGCTGGGCTTAATGATATATGTTACAGGTATAAAAAAAAAAATCTGGCCTTGGCTGGTTTGGCTCAGCGGTTAGAGTGTCGGCCTGCGGTCCAGAGAGACCCGGGTTCGGTTCCCGCTAAGGGCATGTACCTCGGTTGCAGTTTGTCCCCGGCCCTGGTTGGGTTGTGTGGGTGGCGGCCACTCGATGTGTCCCTTTCACATCGATATTTCTCTCTCTCTCTCTGTCCCTCCCACTCTATCTGAACAAAAAATGAAAAATGTCCTCAGGTGAGGATAAAAAAAAAAAATCTGTAGATTTTAATGACATGGAGCAGTGCTTATGACACATTAAATACTAAAACATCACTCAAAATTGCATTTTCATCATGATCTCATGAAATATATACATATATTATGTATACTTACATATGTTTAAATACATAAATATATAACTAGGTAACTGTAGAACGTACTTATAGAAATAAGCTAAATTCTAAACTGGCAATGATTATCACCGAGTGGTAAAATGACATGTAATTTTTATGAAAATGTCAATAAATTCTTTATACGATCCTATATTCTGTAAGGAGCTCGCAATGGACATACATTATCGGAAACAACATTATTTTTAAATTCATACACCAATTCGGAGATTTTCTACATTCTGATTCTGGACATTCCTAAAGGACAAATTTACACCAAAGCAAAGAACAGTGGTCCCCAAAGTGGTTCCAAGTGGGAGCAAGACGACCTCAAACTGCTTGAGTGAGCTATGAAGGCCGAGGACTTAAAAACGTTTCTGTTTGACTTCCCCCAACATCAAGCAGCTGGTACTGTATTATCTCACCGCAGCCGGTGCCAGTTGATTCAAAATGCAGTAAATGAAAAAATCCAGAAAAGCAAACGGAAGTGCACTGCCACGTCCGTCCCAGTGAAAACCAGAAACCTGGAAAACTGGGTGACGGGGGACGGCAACGCAGTCACCAAGACAGGCCGGAGGCCGGCTCCCGGGCAGGACGCAGCGCGAGCTGGGCCTTTGGGTATCTGATGCTTCAGCAGGTGACCAGCCCCAGTGCGAAAGGAGGCACTCTGCTGTCCGCAGGCCGACTCCACGCAAATATCTGAGCACGAACTACTGCCACTGGAGCTTGGAAATTAACTTTTCCCGCCTGAATCAGGCTAGCTGTCCAGGTGAGGGGACTGACGCCGTGGTTTTCAGCCCTGGCTGAGCACTGTCTCCTGGGACTCTGAGCAGCTTGGGTGTACAAGCCGCACCTGGGCCCATTAGAGCGGCCCCCGGGCAGGCCTGGTGGCCCAGGTTGTCTTCCAGGCTGATAACTGCAGAACCCACAGTCTCTGCAGAACTCCAGTCACTGAGTAGGCTGACTGGGGGTACAATGTAGCCAGATAAAGAGAAAAAACGAGTGAAAAGGTTCTGCTCAGTCAGGACAAGAGGGCCTCTGACTTACAATGTCACGGGCCCCTGCCTGGTGACACTCCCGAGTCCCCACCTGTTCTGTCAAGTGCTTTAGGACTGCAGGCCGGTTCAAAGCCAAGCCCCAGCCTCCCGCCGTTGAAGCAGTGAGGAGCTGCGCAGGTGGACAGAGGGAAGGCTCTGTCTTCACGGAGAACAGGCCTGCGGCCCACGCCCACTCACTTTTATACACAGTCTGGGGCATCCCGCCACCAAGTTCCAGGTGTTTTTGGTGCTTGGAGGAGACAGGAAGTGTGAGGCCATGGTGAGTTTTCTAAAACAGACCAGGGGAGACTGGTTGCTGCCACCTTACAGAGCCAACAAATACCACCAGGTGGACGGAGACACGGGACGCTGTGTGCCCAGCATGCCCACGGGCTGGCGGGATCTGTGGAGCCCTCGAGGGGCTGCGGGGTTTCAGTGAGGCACCTACTCTCAGGTTCACACTTTGCGAGAGAAAGAGGGCTCCATGCGGTTAGGACGACAACATGCAGTAACGACTGCTCGGGTCTAGACTCGGTCCTGATGCCGTCTGCAGCTACGCTGTGACAAAGGCCATCCCTCCCCAGAGGGCAGTGGTGGGTCCCCACCGGTGCAAAAGGTGCAATCACCTTGAGCAATAAAACGCACACTTGCAGCTCATTATGTGTTTGCTGGGTCACAGCCAATCAGAAAGATCCTCCGAGAAGCCAGGGGTGATAGGGCACACGGCTACAAGGATGACAAATTTCAGCCGGTCCCAAGATGATCATCACAAAACCCACGAGGCTGGAAGAGGGCCCAGCACATGGCTCAGTGAGACCAGAGCCTTGTGTTCACTGGGTTCCTCCCTCGCCCACCGCTTTCCTTGAGGTATTTCCTCGCCCCGTGGTGGAGAATCACACCAGGCACTGCCCTCTGAAAGGCGGCGCGATCAGGGGCTGAGTGGACTCAACTCTGAGGCCCCGTGGACCTGAGCTGGGTCTCCCTGGGAAGGGGACACCAAGGTATCCTGCTGAACTTGTGGGGCCTCCTGCCTGCCTGCCCAAGAGCCACCTGCAGTGCGTGAGGTCTTCCTGCTGCACAAGGGCAGGGACCAAAGCCTGGTTAGTGCTCACAGGCCCCCGTGGGCGGGGACACCCAGTAATCAGGGCCAACAACTGCTCGGTCGTGTCTGCACTGAAGTCAGCCGGGCCTGAAGCGACCTGCCGGGGCCTCTAACCATGTAACGGTTTCTTTGGTGGTGTGCTAGCACACAGACTTTTGTAGGAGGAACAGAAAAGGAAGGGGTGACATTACACTCAGTACACACGTGGGGCCCGAGGTCTTGCCTCAAAGGAACAGGCAAGTCTTCAATAACAGTCCGAGAGGAACTAAGCCATTTGGACACCAATGAAGACCTGATGCTATGGACCAAGTGTTTGTGTTCCTCCAAGATTCTTCTGTTGAGCCCCAGTCTCTGATGTAATGGTATTTGGGGGTGGGCCTTTGGTCACGAGGGGGGATTAGTGTCCTTACAAGAGACCTCTGGGAGCCCGGGCGTGGGCCCTCGCTGGACACCGGGCTTGCTCGGATCTTGGCCTTAGACGGTCTTCCCGGCAGCCAGCTCCCGCAGAAGCGTGTGTTTGGTCTGCACGCCAGGCCGGGCCCGGGACGGAGCCACAGGGCCGGGTGTGTGGCTGAGGCTCACGGGGCGCCGGCCCGGGGAGCGCTCGCTGTGTAGAGGCCGCGAATCCTTGTCGAATGAACAAATGACGTTCACATTTGACTTACAATTTTTTTTTTTTTTTATCCTCACCCGAGGACATTTTCCCTTTTTTTTTTTTTTTGTTCAGGTAGAGTGGGAGGGAGAGAGAGGAACAGAGAAAGAGAGAGAAACATCAACGCGAAAGGAACACATCGAGTGGCTGCCACCCGCACGACCGACCAGGGCCGGGGACAAACTGCAACCGAGGTACGTGCCCTTAGCGGGAACCGAACCCGGGTCTCTCAGGACCGCAGGTCGACCCTCTAACCGCTGAGCCAAACCGGCAGGGCTTGACTTACAATTTAAAGGAAGCTTAGCCTGCTATCCAAAGACATCTAATGAGGCCACATTCGAATTTTTCTGAAGAAACACGAGGCCTCGTTTTGCAGGGTGTTTGGGACAGGGGTCCCCGCCAAGTGGCTCAGGTGGGACTCACCAGAAGCTTCTTCTCGTCGGGGAAGCCGTGCTTCTGCAGCCTAAGCCTGTGCACGCCGTTCTCATAGGCTTTCGGGTGCTGCAAGGGAGAGGTAGTTAGAGCAGCTACTGAACCCAGGGCAGAAAGTGCGCCCACCTCCCTCGGCAGGGGCACCTCCTGTCGCCAGAGCTACCAAGGGAAGGGCGGCAGATGACTGAAATAAAACGAAGGCGGACCAGTTCAGCCTCACAGTTTCCGACTCTTAGATAACAGAAGGTGAAAGTAAAATTCTTTCTTGAGGAATAATCCCAGGCCGAGGTACACAGTTCAGTGGTTTTCGTTCAGAGCTGTGTGGCCATCACCACAATCGGTTCGAGAACATTCCAGTCATCCTTCAGAAAGACACCCACCCCCATTAGCGGTCATTCGTCCTTCTGCCCATGCCCACCCCAATGCTGGCAACCACTGGTCTACTTCCTGACTCCATGGTTTTTCCTGTTGTGGGCGTTTCACATGATGAATCATACAGTCCGTGAGCTTTTCTGACTGGCTGCGTTCACTCCGCATTGTGCGTTCAAGGTTCATCGTGTTGCATTCATTCCCTTTTATTGTACGGATATACCGTGTTTCATGTATCTCTGTCCATCAACGGGTAGACACTGTTTCCACTTTTTGGCTATTAGGAATCATGCTATGATGGATACTCGTGTTAAGTTTCCAGGTGGACGTATGTTTTCATTTCTCTCGGGTGCACCCCTAGGAGTGGAACTGCTGGGTCATGGGGTAGGTAACTTGTAACCTTTAGAGCAACTGCCAGACTGTGTTCCAAAGTGGCTGCACCACCTGACATCCTCACCAGCGGTGCATGAGGGTTTCAGTCTGGTATCATCTGTCTTGGACTCCAGCATCCTACTGGACCTGAAGTGGTATCTCATTATAGTTTTGATTACATTTCCCTGATGGCTAATGATATTGGAGAGCTTTTCGTGTGTTTATTGGCCTTTTGTCTATATTTCTGGAGAAATATCTATTCAGATCATTTCCCTACCTTTAACTGGATTATCTTTTTGTTGCTGAGGTGTGAGAGTGCTTTACACTCTACATATACGTCCCATATCAGATATGTGACTTAGAAATACTGTCTCCCACTTATGAGCTGTCTTTTCACTTTCTTGTTGATGTCCTTGAAGCATAACAGTTTCAAATTCAGATTAAAGTCTGATTTATTTATTTTCCCCTACTCCTTGTGCTTTTCTGGTAGCATATCTAAGAAGGCTTTGCCTAATCCAAGGCCATTAAAATACAATCCTATGTTTTCTTTTAAGAGTTTTATTGTTCTAGCTTTTACATGTAGGTCTTCGACCATTTTAATTTTTGTATATAGTGTGAAGGGGTTTATTCTTTGCATTCAGATATTCAGTTCTCCCAGCACCATGTGTTGAAAAGATTATCCTTTCTCCATCTTGGTACCCATGTTGAAAATCAATCGACAACAAGGAGAATATTTATGTCTGGACTCTCAGTTCTAGCTCATTGGTCTACAGATCTATCATTATAGTAACAGAGTTTCAATTATTCCAGCTTTGTAGTAAGGTTTGAAATAGTGAAGTGTAATTCCTCCAAGTCTGTTCTTTTTCAGGACTATTTTGGCTATTCTGGATCCCTTATATTTCCATAGGAATTCTAGGGACAGCTTGTCAATTTCTGCCAAGAAACCAGCCAGGGTTTGGATACAGATTACACTGAATCTGTAGTCAATTTAGGGAATATTGCATCTTAACAATATTAAATTTTTCAATCAATGAACATGGGATATCTTTTCATTTATTTAGGTCTTCTTTAGTTTCTCTCAACATGTGTGGTAGTTTTCAAAGTGTAAGTCTTGCACTTCCTTGGTTAAATTTATTCCTAAGCATTTTACTTGTTTGATGTGATTGTAAATGAGATTGTGTTCTTAATTCCATTTTCAGATTGTTCGTTGCTAACATATGGAAAGACAAATGATTTCTATGTTTTATCCTACAACCTTGCTAACATTAATTAGCTCTAATAGTTTTTTGTGGACTAGTTAGGATTGCCTATAGACAAGATCATGTCATCTGCAAAAAGAGGTACTTTTTTTTCTTCTTATCCAATCTTCCTGCCTTTTATTTTCTAGGCTAATTGCTTGGCTAGAACCTCCTATTGATGTTCATGGCAATGGCAAGAGCAGCATCCTTATCTCCTTCTATCTCAGAGGGAAAGTCTCCCACTATCAGGTGTGATGGTAGCTGTGGGGTTTGTAGATGCCCTTTGTCTGGGTGAGGTGGTCCTTTCTAGTCTTAGTTTGTCGAGTGTTTTATCATGAAGGGTATTGGATTTTGTCAAATGCTTTTTTAGCTCCTACTGAGATGATCACATGGTTTTTGTCCCTTAATCTATTCATATGGTGGTTACATTAAATGATTTTCAGACGTTAAACTGATGGTGTGTTCCTGGATAAATCCCATGTGGTCATGCTGGACAATCCTTTTTATCTGTTGCTGAATTAGGTTTGCTAGTATTTTGTTGAGCAGTTTTATGTCAATGTTTATGAGAGATATTGGTTGAGTTTTCTTTTCTTGTGCTCTTTGTTTTTTTGTTATCAGGATAATGCTTCATAGAATGAGTGGAAAGTGTTTGTTTATTTTTTGGAAGAGTTTGTTAATAATTGGTATTAATTTTTCCTTAAATCTTTGGAAGAAATCACCAGGGAAGCCATCTGGTCCTGGGTTTTTCTTTGTGTTAAATTTTTTTTTTTTTTGGTACGTGCCCCTAGCAGGAACCGAACCCGGGACTCTCTGGTCCACAGGCCGACGCTCCAACTGCTGAGCCAAACTGGCCAGGGCTCTTTGTGTTAAATTTTTAAAGTAGTACTTAATTTAGTTACTTCCTTGTTATGGGTCTATTCAGATTTTCCCTTTCCTTGAGTCAGTTTTGGTAGTTCATGTCTTTCTAGCAGTTTTTCAAATTTATCTAATTTGTTAGCATACAGCTTAGTATCCCTTTATCATTCTTTCCTTTCTGTAAAGTCGGTAGTAATGTCTCCTCTCTCATTCCCGATTTCGGTAATTTGAGTCTCCAGTCTGTTCCCTTTGGTCAGCCCAGCTGGAGGAGAGGAGAGCAGAGCGAGAGGACACAGTTACCTGGGCAGCTGTGGGAGCCCAGTGGGGCGCTCCCTGCACTCCTGAAGCTTCGTCCCCCCCCCCCCCAAAGCCCTTTCACATGTTGTCAGATGCTGCTGCTGGGGACTGTGGTGGGCCCGTGGATGGAATGGTTGAGGCCTGGGGAGGGGAGGGGAGCAAAGGGGAGGGAGCCGTGCAAGGGAATTCGGGGGGGGGTGCCTCTAAGGCAAGCAGGGAACCTGGCATGAGGGCAACAGAGGCTTCATCCAAGGTGGGGACACCAGGTGCTGGAATGACACAGGAGAGAGGGAAAGCAGGCGGCACAGGAGAGGGGACAGCAGGCGCGAGGTCCTGAGGCTTGGGAGGAGGGCTGGCTGGGCAGGGGAGAGCACTGAGCGCTGGGGACCTGCTGAGGGTGCAGGCAGGGGAGAGCACTGAGCGCGGGGGACAGCAGGACCTGCTGAGGGTGCAGGCAGGGGAGAGCACTGAGCGCTGGGGACCTGCTGAGGGTGCAGGCAGGGGATAGCACTGAGCGCTGGGGACCTGCTGAGGGTGCAGGCAGGGGAGAGCACTGAGCGCGGGGGACAGCAAGACCTGCTGAGGGTGCAGGCAGGGGAGAGCACTGAGCACTGGGGACAGCAGGACCTGCTGAGGGTGCAGGCAGGGCAAATGCCCTATGTGGACACTGATTTGCTCAACAGCCTGGAGAGCAGGGTCCGTCACTTATCAGCTGGCCGTGAGCAGAGGTCAGAGGAGACGGGTGGCAGGGGTATTGCACTGACCAGGGAAAAGTGGCCGATGTGCTAGGCGCCCGGACAGCCCACCTGACATGCGTGGACCACAGTTTCAAGTGACATCAGCCAGCCTACCCCTGTCATCTTCCTGCAGTCACACGTGATGTCCGTCCAGGGGGAGCCAGGATGTCCCTGCTCCTCTTTGAGGCATGGCCAGTCCGAGGCCTTTGTCACCCTCCAAAGGAAGTCTCTAACCCAGACTGCAATGACTGGTCCTTTCCTAAAACTGCCGCTACGTGAGGTGGGACCCTTGTCCACTCTTGGTTCCCCACTGACATTGCAGAGACATAACCGGGCTGAGGACAGTCGTCAGACACCGGGCAGACGTCACCATCCAAGAAGACACAGGAAGCAGAAGCGAGTTCTTACCGTGACCAGGGAGGAAGAGCAGGCAATGTCCTTTGGATCTGAAACACCAAACGTGCGTACGCGTCACTCCAGGCCGGGCCTTCCCACCAACTCAACAAATTCAACCAACACAAGACCCATCTGATGCTTTCACTCAGTTAGCAGCAATTTCGGAAAAAAGACAATGCCCAAGGCAGCATGTCTGGTGGGGTACAGTCGCCGGGCAGCCATCCCACAGAGAACCCACATGCCCCTGCCCCCTCAGCCATCCGGGACTGCTCAGGCCCCCCAAACCTCAGCCGGGCAGAGCAGGGAATCGCCCCCAGCTAACGCACGTGGGCAGGGACATGCAGACCGCGGTGCAAGGGGGAGAAGAGTTCGCGTGTGACACACACAAGCTGAGCACACGCACACTGCAGTGACAGCCACACAAAGCATAATTTAAAGGAGAAGTACCAGAACGAAATATAAAAACGGAAAAAGTATTTTAGAGCAGAGGTTACAGATAACATTTGTGATGAGTTGTTTAATGCTATGGAATTAACTAGAAATGAGAATTAGCGGGGACCGAACATCTATCTTGCTATAGAATAAAGTGCCTTTTATCTAAATGCAAGGGAGGAAGGACACGTGGAAAAGTAACCTGAAGCTAGGCTTTTGCCATCTTTGTTTTTTGTTTTTTTTTTTGCATTTATCTTGAGACAGAGCGGGAGGGAGAGAGGGAAGAAGAGAGAGAAACACGCCGAGTGGCTGCCACCAGGCTGCCACACAACTCCACCAGGGCCGGGGACAAACTGCAACCGAGGTACGTGGCCTCAGTGGGAACTGAACCCGGGCTCTCTGGTCCGAGGACCGACACTCCAACCGCTGAGCCAAACCGGCCAGGGCAGCTTTTGCCATCTTTTACTGAAAATCACTCCAGTGCACTGGGCACCAATGGCCCGACTCCCAGCTGCTGGCTGGGGCAGGCCAACCTCGTTCCAGAATCCAGAGAGTCGCCCTGTCTGTAGACTTGCCTTCCCATACCCAGAATCCTGGTCTCTTTATGACTGTTGGGGAAGCAGGTTAACTGCCTCGAAACGAACTGAGCAGTAGGGCTTTGAGGTCCCCCCAGCGGAGTTCCTTCCCGAGTGATGCGGAGGCTGACACCTGGGGAGGGGCCCGAGAGCACACTGTGTCGGGCACAGGGTGGGGGTGAGGGGGGGGCGGGAGGCTCACCAGGTGCGCATCAGGGGGCTGGCACTGGAGGTGCCAATGGCCCACCTGAGGTGTGCGGCCACCACTTAAAGTGATGTCAGCAGCTCACCTGGGGGTTTTCTCCAGCCACACTGTGACCCCCGCCCCGGGTCCGTCACGAGGCCGAGCCAGTCCCTACGAGGGCTTCTCCTAGGCATTCCCCTTGCAGAACATTTGCGCGCACGGCCCTGGGCTGGGACACATCCCAGAGCTGCTTCCTGGACAGAAATGAGGGCCCACAGGCGAGGCACCCCGTCCTCAGGGCCTAGCCCCGGGCCGGAAGGAGGAGAGGAGGGAGCCCAGCCCTCACTGCTGGTCACAGGAAGGGGGGCCTGGAGCCTTCGCTGCCCAGCCCCACGGCCAGTGAGCGGGGACGAGGAGGGAGCAGAAAGGAGCCAAGAGGCACGTGGAACCCGCCTTTCTCATCTGTAAAGGTGCTCTGCTCTCGGACACAGCATGTGCCTGTCACCATTCACAGCTGGCTCTCAGCGTTCACACACATCCCTCCCGGTCACACGGAAACAGAACGTGACAGTGACTCCCAGCAGAAAGGGTCTTAGGGTGCGGTTTTGTTCTGCCAGAGGACAGCAAGGAGCCCCCAGCCCGGGACGCTGTGTCTACGCTGCACTGAGCGGACAGGTGACCCTGCACCACGGAGAGAACCTCCTTTACAAAGGCCTGGCTTGGGCCTGAGCGAGGAGTGGAAGAAAGGGGGTTCACCTGTGGGCACAGGGCCTGGGTGCCGGGGGTCCCCGAGGGAGGGAAATGTGGAGGGCTACAGAAAAGCCTCCTCAGCAGAGGCTGGTAGAGGGGCTGCCTCAAAAGTGACCCTCAGATTCCCTGTCAAAGCCCCGAACGTGTGCCCGCGGGAACCGCCTCATCGCTCATTGGTCAGGAGGGAACGGGAGGAAAGGGCGCATGTGACAGGACGGTGGCCGAGAAGACACAACGCGCACTGTTTCCTGGATGCTTCTCAAAGAAAAGAGTTCCCACAGTCCCCAGGAATGAGCTTTACTTCCCAGGGTTCCGGAGACCCATGTTTGAGAAGCACTGACTTAAGCCCCACCCCAACCCTATGGTACAAAAATATCTTTTACATGCATGTTATCTACCTAAAAAGCCGACATGTATAACTGACAAAGTTTGTTTTTTCGGATTGTTGTCTAGGAGGGATCCAGGATGGTGGCCGAGTCGGTGGACGTCACACCCCCCTCCAGCACAAACGGGAATTACAACTGAAACATAGAGCCAGCAGCTTGAATGCCCATCCAAAGGCTAGCTCAAGAGGAGTCATAGCCAACGACTCACAGAGGTCACAGTGAGAGCGGAAGGAAGGATGGACGTGCACAAAGGGCTGGCCCGGCTCCCAGGGGTTCCCTCTGAGAAGCGGGGTTCTCCAGGCCCCCAGCCCAGAGCACCAGCGTGGGGCAGAGAGACCTGGCTGTGAAAATCAGTGGGGATGCTGCATGACAGGAAGAGACGAGGTCCGTTAGAGACACAGGTGCCCTCCTAGAGGGCTGGCACACAAAATCACATCCGCAGTCACTCACCCTGGGCTGCGGCAGAAGGAGGGTGGGGTGACAGTCTCATGAGGACAGACTGGGGTCTGTGGCTCTGGGGAGAGAGCGTAAGGGGCAGCCTCAGGACCCCCGTGCTGAGTCCCTCTCCTCCATGTGGCACCAGCACCAGCCTGGGGGGACGCAAAGCCCCACCCTCTCTACTCCCTCTTGCCCCACCCTGCGGAGCCTGTGCCCTGCGGAGTAGTCAGCTGCCTGGGCTGAGGTACGGCGGTCTGGGCAGACTCGGGGTGTAAGTGACTGAGTCCTGTGGCTTTGGGGCAGTGGCCCTTCCTCTTACTTTTCCAGGACTTGACTGGCGCCTCCCCCTCATGGGAGATCTGCTAGCGCCACCCTCTCAAATCCTGGTGGCCCCACCCTGCAGAGGTCTAGGTAGAACCCGGGACAGACTGCGTTGTGTGGCTCTGGGGGAAGGGCCGCTGCCCTCACCTTCCCCAGCCTGACCGGCACCTCACCCTCACAGGAGACCCACTGGCCTCACCTTCTCAGCTCCTGGCGGAATCCGAGACAGACCGAGTTGTGTGGCTCTAGGATGGGGGCCATTTTCTCTCTCACACAGGCGGGTGCAGGGCCCTCCCTTCACATGGCCACATCTTGGTTTGTCTGGGCCTGATAAACTCTGCTGGCCCATCCTGACGACTCCCCGAGACCCTGCCCCACCCCAGAGGGATGCGAGCACTCTGAGTGGCAGCAGGACTGTGGGACATTTGCTGACTGGCCTCAGACCCAGCCCTGGCACTGAGTTTGGACCTGTGTCAGTCTAGTAAACAAAACTCGCCCCTACCTGGTGACTCACAGGCTTATCTCAAGAAACAGGAAAACTCTCCAATAAACAATCTAACTTTACATTTAAAGGAGCCAGATGAAGAACAACCAACAAAGCCCAAAGTGAGTAAGAGAAGGACATAAAGATCAGAGCAGAAATAAGCCCTGGCCGGTTTGGCTCAGTGGTTGGAACATTGGCCTGCGGACCAGAGAGTCCTGGGTTTGGCTCCTGCTAGGGGCACATACCAAAAAAAAAAAAAAAAAAAAAGATCAGAGCAGAAATAAATGAAATAGAGTCTAAAAAAACAATACAAAAGATCAAGAAACCAAGAGCAGGTTCTTTGAAAAGATAAACAAGACTGGGAAACCTAACCAGACTCATCAAGAAAAAGAGAGGACCCAAATAAAATCATAAATGAAAGAGTAGAAGTAACAACTGACACCAAAGAAATACAAAAAAATGTAAAAAAAAATATTACGAACAACTATATGCCAACAAACTGGACAATCTGGACAAAATGGATAAATTCCTAGAAACATACAATCTTCCAAAATGGAATCAGGAAGATTCAGAAAATCTGAATAGACAGATTAGAAATAATGAAATTGAATCAATAATAATTATATAAAAAAAACCCAAAAACCTCTCAACAAACAAAAGTCCTGGACTGAATGTCTTCAAAGGTGAATTTTACCAAACATTCAAAGAACACCTACCTCCTCAAATTACTCCAAAAAATTCAAGAGGAGGGAAGACCCCCAAGTTCATTTCATGAGGCCAGCATCATTCTAATTCTAAAACCAGATAAAGACACTACAAAAAAAATTATAGGCCAATATCCTTGATGAACATAGATGCTAAGAGCCTCAACACAATGTTAGCAAACCAGATCCAGCAATACATTAAAAAGATCATGCACCATTATCGAGTGGGATTTATTCCAGGGGTGCAAGGTACAATATCTGCAAATGAATAAATGTGATATACCACATAATCAAAATGAAGGATAAAAATCACATGATCATATCAATGAATGCAGAAAAAGTATTTGATAAAATCCAGCACCAATTTATGATAAAAACTCTCAGCAAAGTGGGAATAGAGGGAACACACCTCAATGTATTAAAAGCCACATATGACAAACCCACAGCTTACATCATACTCAACAGGCAAAAACTAAAAGCTTTTCCCTTAAGATTGGGAATAAGAGATATCTGCTTTTACTACTCTTATTCAACATAATACTGGAAGTCCTAGCCACAGCAATTAACCACAAAAGAAGAAGAAATAAAAGGCATCCAAATCAGAAAAGAAGAAGTAAAACTGTCATTATTTGCAGATGACATGATACTGTATATAGAGAACCCTGATTCCACCTAAAAATTACTAGAACTGATAAATGAATTTAGAATAGTAGCAGGATACAAAATAAATATTCAGAAATCAGTTGCATTTTTATACACCAATAATGACTATCAGAAAGGGAAACTAAGAAAACAATCCCAATCATAATTGCTTCAAAAAAAAAAAAAAAGAAATATTAGGAATAAGTTTAACCAAGAATGTAAAGAGACTTGTACTATGAAAATTATGACACTGAAAAAAGAAATTGAAGAAGATACAAATAAGTGGAAACATATATCATGTCCATGGATGGAAAGAATTAATGTCATTAAAATGTTCAAAATTGCTTTGCTACCCAAAGCAATCTATAAATTCAATGCAATTCCTATTAAGATACTAATGATGTATTTTGTAGAACTAGAACAAATATTCTAAAAATTTATACAGAATCACATAAGACCCCCAAATAGTAACAGCAATCTTTGGAAATAAGAACAAAATTGGAGGAATCATGTTACCTGATATCAAACTATACTGCAAGGCTATAGTAATCAAAACAGCATGGTACTCGCATAAAAACAGACACATAGATCAATGAAACAGAACAGAGAGCCCAGAAATAAACCCATGCCTTTATGGTCTGTTAATATTTGAAAAAGGAGGCAAGAACGTACAATGGGGTAAAGATAGTCTATTCAATAAATGGTGTTGGGAAAATTGGACAGATACATGCAAAAAAAAAATAAATAAATAAAAAGAAACTAGACCACTTTCTTACACCATACACAAGAATAAACTCAAAATGGATTAAAAACTTAAATGTTAGACTTGAAACCATAAAAATCTTAGAAGAAAACAGAGGCAGTAAAATCTCGGACATTTCTCATAGCAATATGTTTTCTGATATATCTCCTTGGGCAGGGGAAACCAACGAGAAAATAAACAAATAGGACTACATCAAACTAAAAAGGTTTTGCAAAGCAAAAGAAACCATTAACGAAATGAAAAGATGACCCACTAAATCAGAGAACATATTCACCAATGATACATCTGACAAGGGGTTAATATCCAAAATTTATAAAGAACTTATACAACTCAACAGCACAAAAATTCCCCCAAACAATCCATTAAAAAATGGGGCCTGGCTGGTGTGGCTCAGTGGACTGAGCCTCCTCCCATGGACTGAGAGGTCCTGGTTTGATTCCTGGTCAGGGCATGTGCCCTGGTTGCAGACTTGATCCCCAGTTGGGGGCGTGCAGAAGGCAGCCCATCAATGTTTCTCTCTTGTCGATGTTTCTCTCTCTCTCTCTCCCTTCCCCTCTCTCTTAAAAAAAAAAAAAAAGCAATAAACATATTAAAAAAAAAAGGGCAAAGGAACCCTAGTTGGGTAGCTTAGTTGGTTACAGTGTTGTCCTGGTACACTAAGGTTGTGGGTTCGCTCTCTGGTCAGAAACATACAAGAAGCAACCATGAATGCATAAATAAGTGGAACAACATATCAATATTTTTCTCTCCAACCCCTCACCCCTTTCTCTTTCTCTAAAAATATCAATCAATAAAAAAATTTATTTTTAATGGGCAAAGGACCTGGATAGACACTTCTCCAAAGAGGACACACAGATGGCTAACAGACATATGAAAAGGTGCTCAAGGTCACTAATCACCAGAGAGATGCAAACTAAACCACAATGAGACTGTCACCTCACACCTGTCAGCATCTCTCTCATCAATAAATCAACAAACAAGTGTTGGTGAGGGTGTGGAGAAAAGGGGACCCTTGTGCACCGTTGGTGGGAATGCAGACTGGTGCAGCCACTGTGGAAAGCAGTATGGAGTTACTTCAAAAAATCAAAAATGGAGCTACCTTATGACCCAGCGATTCCACTTCCGGGAATATATCCAAAGATACCCAAGACACTAATTTGAAAGAATATATGCACCCCTATGTTCATTACAGCCTTATTTACAATAGCCAAGATTTGGAAGCAGCCCAAGTCCATCAGTAGATGAGTGGAGGAAAAAGGCTGTGGTACATATACACCATGGAATACTACTCGGCTGTAAAAAGAAAGAAATCTTACCTTTTGTAACCGTCAGAGAAAGACAAGTACCATATGATTTCACTTATACGTGGAATCAAATGAACAAAATAAACTGAAAAATGAAATAGAAACAGATCATATTTACAGAGAACAGACTGACAACTGTCAGAGGGGAGGGGGGTTGGGGAACTGGGTTAAAAGGTGAAGGGATTAGGCAAAAACAAAAATTCAGACACAGACAACAGTGTGGTGATTACCAAAGGGAAAGGGGGTGGGGTGGGGTAGAAAAGGGTACGGGGATAAATGGTGATGAAAAGAGATCTGACTTGGGGTGGTGAGCACACAATACAATATGCAGATGATGTGTAGAATTATATCCCTGAAACCTATATGATTTTATTAACCAATGTCACCCCAATAAGTTCAATTAGAAAATTTAATTAATAAAACATTATCATCTAAAAAGAAAAATATTATTTTTAATTGAACCCACAAGAACCCATCCCAAAGACCCAAGGGGGCCATAGCCCAAGTTTAAGAAACTCTAAGCAGGTGAGCTGGCAGCTGGTCACAGCCCAACATCCCCACTTCCTGTGTGACCTTGGGCCGGTCAGTCAGCACCTGAGCCTCAGGCCCGTTCCCTAGAGAGCCACATGCCTGGCACGGCACCTGCAGCACAGAAAGCCCTTGGTATGTGGGGGCCACTCGCCTCCCCATTTATGACCTGGGAAGAAGAACAGCCCTTCGGAGTGTGCTCACTGAGTATTAGGAAGAGTCTGAGACGTCCTCATTCCCATGCAAACAAGCCAACCTCAGATCTGAGTACAGGTACAGACCTACCTCGGAGGAAGAGCCACACCCCCGGGGAGACAGGGAAGGCGGGCTGGAAGGGAAGACCTTCCACAGGAAGGCAGAGAAGGTCAGGAGGGGCCCAGGGCTGTGACCCAGGCACCGGGACTGGCCTCAGAGGTCAGGGAGGCGAGAGGAGGAGCCAGGGTGGTGGGACAAGGTCAGCCGACCTCCAGGAGCGCTGAGCCATCCAAAGGAAGTGCCCAGCGATGCAGAGTGACAGCAAGGATCAGGTCCCGAGTGAGACAGACCCAGAGGACCAGGGCCCTGGTGGGAGACCAGAGTGCACTGAGGCCACTGAACCCCAAAGCATGAAAACTGCCACCGAGGAGGCCAGGCGCGGGGTGAGCAGGGAAGGAGGGGTAGCGAGAAGGAATGTTTGCTGGCACCATGGAGGACAGGGATAGGGACTCAGGGAGGATCTTGCAGAACCTTGAATACGTCTACGGAGAAGGCAGGAGGCTGACTTAGGTAAGAAAACCACCGGCGCAGGAACGAGAGGGCAGAGACGGGGCAGGACCAGCTCCGTGGCCAGGCCTTTGGTCCCATGGCACCTCCCACCGCCTGCCTGTGGCTTGTTGCCGAGGACAGCCGGGGAGGCAGGGGTGCTCACTGTCCCCCACGTCAGTGAGACCTCCCAGGACAACCTTCCGGCATGGCTCACTGCTAGAGCCTGGTGGGCCTGGGGGAAGCTGAGAGATGGCCTTTCTGTCCCAAGAGTAGACCTGGGAGGAGACAGACAGAGCTCCAGGTCACACCGTACACAGGGAGGAAGACCAGCAGGGTGACGCCTAGATTACAGGAAGGCAGGACAAGAGGGGACAGGATGCGCTGGGGACGCAGCCCCTGGGGAGCCCTCTGCTCGGAAACAGCGTCACCCAGCCCTCTCCAGCCTTACGCCTCATAGAAGCCACAGGAGTAGTGGCTCAGTGGGAGGGAGACTCATTTTATTACAAAAGACCAAAGCAGAGCTTCCTCATTCTTGGAAATACTGCCCTGAGCGGTGGCAAGGCCCGGCCAGGATGCCTGGCGGAGCGGGCACTGGCACTAAGATCCCAGGCCGGCGAGCAAGCTCACTCTGCGGCCACGCCCCCCCTTCTCGTGTTTCCTCCTCCCCCAGAACCAGCCCCTTATCAGCTGAGGAGGAGAAGAAAAGCCACTGTGGACTCCAGACCTTGGGCAGGACAAACACACCCAGGGGACCCGGAGCCAGCGAAGAGGAAGCGCATTGTTCTCCAGGTGACTGATGTGTAAAGAACACCCCGCGGAGCCCAGGGGACAGAGGGAGCCAGCCTGGAAAAAAACAGGTGGCACCCATGACCTTTCCCAGAACTCCGGTGACACTCGAGGCACGGTGCGGCTGGGACGCCCCGACAGACGGCAGCTCAGCGGCACTACCCTGTCGCTACCACTGAGAACCGTGTCCTGCTGGCTCTCTGCTGGATTAACTAATTTCCAATCCCCTTAAAGCACGTTTGGTGCGGAGTCTGGAATGGGACACTCTTCACCTAATTAAGCTATAGGATCATAAGTTGTGCCCAGGTTTTACAACATTGTCCAAGACATATCTCATCAGAAAGCAAGCCAGCTGGCAAGGTCCATCGGTTGGTGGTCGCAGGACTGCGTGAGCAGGTGCAGACACAGGCCAGGCGCCCTGGAAGTGAGCGACAGGGCAGGTCGGGGACTTCGAGAGACTCCCGGACTCGAGGAGAAATGTGCACACCTGGTGCTGCGGGCGGGGGGACAGGGTGGGAGGACGGGTCGGGGGGGGGGACAGGGCTGGGGGACAGAGTGGGGGTGGGACAGGGCGGGGGGACGGGGCGGGAGGACAGGGCGGGAGGAGGGGGGACAGGGCTGGGGGACAGAGCGGGGGTGGGACAGGGTAGGGGGACAGGGCGGGGGGACAGGGTGGGAAGAATCCCAACACTCCAGAAATCAAGAGACAGCAGAAACCCCAGCATGTCCAGGAGAGAAATGGCTAATGGGGACGTCTACACCCGAAGAAGGACGTCCGCCTGGTGAGGGGAGGGCCAGGGCAACACACGCCTACACAGGACTGAGCAACAGCCTGTTCTCGAAACCCCGTGTCCCCGAGGCCCTCCCTGGAGGGCTCACCTCTCAGGCCACGGGCACTTACCTTCGATGAGAAAGAGGAAGCACACGATCCCCATGGCTGCCACGATGGCCCCGGGCACGATGAAGGACAGGCCCCAGCACGTGGACACCCAGTAGCCAGCAATCAAGGACCCCAAAATGTTGCCCACTGAGGTGTGAGAATTCCAGACCCCCATCACCAAACCACGCCTGCAACACAAGACACAAGACAGCACCTGATGTGGAGAAGCTTCAGGGGACCGCGGTGGGGGACACAGCAGTGCCTGCAGGGGGCGAGCTGGCCCCGGAGGGAGGAGGCCGTGCGAGACACGGCTGGGATGCCGCGGGGAGCTGGGCTTCATTTCACCCCGGGGACTCAGGTGCCCAACCACACAGCTCTCAGAGCGCCTATTTCTGATGAAAAAGTGAAATGAGGACTTTTCCAGAAGGTCTTGGAAGGTCCCAAATACTAAATCTGTACCTCTGCAGACTGAATCCAATCGTCTGGTGGAACGTCCCGTTCACGCAGGTCCCCGCTGCCGGGCCATCGGATGGATGGAACAGCGGAGAGAGGCTCGGAGAGCTGGTTTACTCTCAGTTGCCACACTTTAGCCCTCTCTAGTGCTCCCCACCCCTACCCTGCCCTGGCCCGGGGCTGAGTGTTACACAGCGTCACAGCGGCCTCTGGACTGCACTCGGCCCACCGAGGCTGGACGCACCTCTGCTACCAGGACTTGTCACACCTTCCAGCGCCTTGGAGTCTTACTTTATGCATTTATTTTATCCTCACCGGAGGATATTCTTCCACTAATTTTTCAGATGGAATGTGAGGGAAGGAGGGAGAGAGAGACAGAGAGAAACATCGAAGTGAGAGAGACACAACGACTGGCTGCCTCCTGCGTGACCCTGACAGGTGCTGGGGATCGAACCTGCAACTGAGGCACATGTCCTTGACCGGAAATTGAATCCTCGACACTTTGGTGTGCGAGCTGATGCTCTAACCAAACTGGCCAGGGCTTTGAGTCTTATTTATTTATTTTACTTTTTTCCAAGCGAAAACAAAATTTGAGAACCAGACTCCCTGCAGCGGGGAGGGGACCTAAGTGGGCTGCGCTTGAATCGTAGTTTTAATGTAGCGTCTGCACCAAAGCCGGGGCGGGCCTGTCCTCTGCACCTTCTCCCGGTTCCCAGGAGCCAGGAAAGGCCATGCTGCTGGTCAGCTGCACAGAATGACACAGCGTCCACCCACCAACAGCAGGGAGGGCATCTCCTGGGACAAAGGCATCTGAATTCAGAACCTCCGGTCCCAGAAGTTTTAATCCTCTTATTTCATAGAATAGACTAAAGTGTTTTTTGTTTTCCTACAGTAAATCTAAGGAAAAACTAAAAATAAAGTCTTTTTTTTTTTTTTAAATCTTAAAAAAAATAATGCTGCCCTGGCCAGTTTGGCTCAGCAGTTACAATGAGTCGTGGGTTCGATTCCGGCCAAGGGCATGTACCTCGGTTGCGGTTCATCCCCAACCCTGGTCGGGGTCGTGCGAGAGGCAACCAGTCGATGTGTCTCTCTCACATCGATGTTTCTCTCCCTCCCCCTTTCTCTCCCTCTCTCTCCCTCCTGCTCTATCTGAAGATAAGTGGAAAAGTATCCTCGGGCGAGGATTAAAAAACAGTAATAACAACAATGCTGTTGGAAACAGGGTGGCCTTTTCTCCCCTTCCTTTGACAATGTTTCATGTTCAATGAGTTTCCATCCAGTATCACTTGTTTAGTTTCGGGTGTACAGAACCGCGCTTAGACAATCGCAGGCTTACAAAGTCTCACCTTCCTTTTCCAAACCAGTTGCTGAGGCAGGTGACGACGCTGGGCCAGCCGGTGGTCTGCACCAGCCCGTTGATGATCTGCGGCAGAGGGGACAGGCAGGACTCAGGACTCACCTCGGGGGAAGCCTGTCTTCAGGCGGGGCTCCCAGACGCCTCCCCTTCTCTGTTCTTCGGGAGTTTGGGAGCACAGCTGGGACTCACACAAAAAGAGGGGGGCCAACCTCTATTCGATGTGAGCCCCAAGAACCAAATGTTTTAAACTAGATATATAATTACAAATGTGATGCGTGCATATTGTGAAAATTTTAGAATATGTAGGGACAAGAGAGAAAAGAACTACTACTGACAGCCTGGGGCCAGGGGTTTCGATCTCTGTCGCATCTAACACTCGATGAAAGAGAGGAAAGGTTGTCGTCTTTGTAGAGAGCTGAGATCGGACTGTAAACATGGCGTGTAAACCGCACGCTCCGCTTCTCACGCCGTGAAGAAGGCACTGCTGTTAATGAGCCTCTGAACCAAGCTTAACCTTGACTGAAGCCTGGAAAAGGATCCCCCCTTTTCAAGAGGACCCTGAGCTTACATTTCAGGAAGGGGCTTAGCAAGTGCGCTGGTGAATAGGTTTGTGTTGGTCCAGGAGTGTCGGGGCACCTTGACAAGACGACACGAAACAGGTCCAGCCCGGCACCTCCTGCAGTCACCACTGGGACAGACCAGCTCTGCAGGAGGCCTTCTGGGGGCCACGGGCTGGTCCGGCCTCAGGGCCAGCCAGGCTCGGCCTTCTCTCCAGGAATGTGCTGGACCTCTGGGAAACTGTATTTTGTTTTTCCCTTCCTTCTAATTTTAAGCATTACTATAAAGTGTAAATCACTTTTGTAATTAAAATAATCAAACTCTTTCAAGGCCTATGTCAAAATTTTTAAAAGCAAGTATGTCCAGTTTGCTTTGATGATTTTATAACACCCCCTAGGCTATTGGAGGGCCTCAGATGCTGAGCTCATTATTTTATGTCATTTTCCATTTCTAGTAAATAGAATCCCCAGGAATGTTGGGACGGGCAGTAGCCAAGCGTTTCAGGCCCAGCTGGGAGGCAGCACAGGGCCTGTCTCGGCCTTCACCTGCTTTGAGCAAACTCAGCCTCTCTCCTCCCACTGATCACCTCCAACCCTGTCCCATGGCCAGTGCCGCCTAAGTCCTCCCTTCTCCCTGCCCTCGCTGCACGCCACATCCCTCCAACTCCTGGCTGGTCCCATCGGTCACCAGACAGAGCATCTAGAACTCATCCAGATGAGGGCAGAGGGGCCCCTGCTTCAATCCCCTGCTGGGGTATGGACAAAGGGGGTCCTGTAAGGGGCAACTCCTGAATCCTCAGGAAAACTGCATGGCTGCTGAGCTCAGAGACGGTGGAAGAGAGACTCTGCATGTTGGCGCTGACCCTGACGTCTGCTGCACCCCCATCCCCATTCCACCACCTGCCCGCTTCTCCCTGGGTGGAGGCAGGGACCTGAGACATAAACACCCTGTCCAGCTCATCGTGGGAACCGCACAGGTGGTGAGCCATGGGCCCAGACCTCACCTGCGTTACCACGTAGAATCCAAAACTGTGGATGTCGTAGAAATACCCTAACCCGAACAGGGCCGTGAAGATGCCGCTGGCCAGCATTCCGAAAGTCAGGTAGTACCTGATGGGCAGGCGCTCCCCGATCACGCCGCTGAGGATAGGAAAAGGGAGACGAGTGTGAACAGACAGGCACACCCATAACATAAACGACCCGTGAGTTCTTCCCGGATGTTTTCATGCTGTTCTCTGAGCTTTCGAAGCTCCAAAGCACCACAGTTTCCAAGAAGATTTAATCACAACCGTTTCCCAACAGGGCATTTATTAACCAACGGGCAGTATCTTTAAAGACTTTTTATTTGTAGTAAAAGTCGCTAACAGTCAAATAATAATCCTCAAACACCATGGCTCGCACACACGATGCTGCCAATGAAAAACACCCCGAACTTGTCCTGCTAGTTAGTCCTGCTTTTATACAAACAACATCCAGTTAAAATACCAACTGTCAGACTGCAAACAAATGCCCTTGGGCTGTCATTAAGTCACCTGTGTTGACAATATTGGGCCCAATTTTATCTCTACTTAAACGTTTTATTTTATTTTATTTTTTTCCTTTATTGATTTTAGAGAGAGAGAGGAAGTGAGAGGGAGAGAGAGATAGAAACATCGATGAGAGAGAACATCGATTGGTCGCCTCCTGCATGCCCCCCACTGGGGATCTGGCCCACAACCTGGGCATGTGTCCTGATCGGGAATCGAACCAGCGACCTCTTGATGCATAGGTTGATGCTCAACCACTGAGCCACACCGGCTGGACTCTACTTAAACATTTTAAAAGAAAAGGCTGAATGCCCAGCCAGTGTGGCTCAGTGGATTGAGCGTCGTCCCATGACTGAGAAGTCCAGGTTCGATTTCCAGTCAGGGCACATGCCTGGCTGATCCCCAGTAGGGGGCGTGCAGGAGGCAGCTGATTGATGGTTCTATCTCTCTCTCCCTTCCTCTCTCTCTAAAAAGAAAATAAAAAAAATAAAAAAAAAGGCCAAATGGAATGGACACCATTCCACCTTATGTCGACTCAACAGTCACTAAGGCCACGCCACACCTGCTGCTGACAAGGAGGGCCCTGGGCTGATGAAGGTGCCACCATATCTCACTGTGCCTGGTATACTGTTCCATCCATGTGCCAGGGGTCATGGAAAGGCCGTGCAAGGGAGCAGTGCACACCCTGGCTGCAGTCACGAGTGAGCTTTGGATCTCACACTGGACAGATTTTCAGGATAACCCTCACTGGCAAGCTGCGTGAAAAATGACCTCTGCCCATCAAGAAGCAACAATAAACCCACTTGTTTCCAAGCAGGTTTCTTAAGCTCAGCACCCTTGACATTGTGGGCCAGGTGATTCGCTGGGGTGCGTGCGGGGCTGTCCTCTGTGGGATGTTAGCAACACCCCCGTTCTCTACCCATCAGGTGCCAGTAGCACCTTTTCTCCAGATGTGACAACCAAAAGTATCCCCAGATGTTGCTCTAGGTTTCTTAAGGGACAAAATCACTCCTAGCTGAGAGCATTCAAATGCTGTTTTCTAGTAACTGAGAAAAGCATACTCTAGCTTTGGGTCTTTTTATTCTATAGATGATTGGTGTCCAGTAAGGTCAGTCTTTTTTAAAAAATCTTCATCAGAGGATATTTTTCTATTTATCTTCAGATAGAGTGGGAGGGAGGGGGAGAGAGGGAGAGAGAGAGAAGCATCGATGTGAAAAGACACATCGACTGGTTGCCTCCTGCACAACGCCCACCAGAGCTGGGGACGAAGCGCAACCCAGGTATGTGCCCTTGACCGGAATCAAAGCTGTGGCTCATTGGTTCTCAGGCCGATGCTCTAACCTCCGAGAAACTGGCCAGGGCTGGTAGGTCTTCACAATATAAACGTTACCCCTCAAGATGGAACACGGCTAGCAGTCTGGCTGCCACCCACGCCTCAGGAGCCTCAGGCCCACACTGTCCTTCTCATCCATCGGGCTCATGCTCCGCTGTGCGCCACACGCTTCAGGCTACTTGTTACTGCCGCATCTGCAGCGCTGAGCAAATGTGCAAACCCAATAGAGGGAAGCCATCCACTGCACTGAAAAATTGCCTGGCTGCCACCAACAACCCACAAGGGCGCTGGGCTGGGTGGGGCCCAGGTCCTGGTGACCCCCCTTTCTGGTGGGTCTCAGGGAAGAGGCTCAATGTCGACAGAATCCCTGAGATTCTTGAATCTCTAAAGATCTTAGTCTCTGAACAAAAAACTCTTGGGCTAAAAGCCTTAGTCCCTATGGTGCTGTTTTCCCAACCTGGCTGGACTGACACAATACCAGTATTTAACCTGCCCCCACATGTCCTGTTACCTCCCTCACTTACCACCTTCCTAGGTCAGTTAGAGAACGGGGTCAAGAGCCCAGGACAACGATCACGTGTGGCAGAGGGTGGGCATGCGCCACGTGCCGGCACCATGCCAAGCAGACGGTGTGTCTTCACGCATCAGTCCCCACCACAGTCCTGTAGGAACTACTGTGCCCCACTGTGCAAAGCTGTAGAGGAACTTGCCCACGCCACGTGAGCAGTGGTGGAGCCGGGAGACAGATCCCAGCAGTGCGTCTCTATCCACACCCCGGCCGCCACACCGCACGGCCTCTGTGCCCAGTGAGGAGCGCGCATGCCCGGCGGGGCGGCCAGGTGGGCCTGTGCACACACACTTTGCAAACTGGAACTCGCGATTGGGGACGTGTAGACAGATGGCGGCCCCTGAAAGCAGAGGCGAGGATGCGCTCTGCTGAGAATCTCAAGGGGCCGCCAGTGCCCTGTTGCTGAGTAGCCACATCCCAGCAGGGTTCACTGCGCGTCCTGACCACGGCCGGGAGAGCCGCCACGGCCAGCGCGCCCTGATCAGCAGTGTCCGGGGCTTCTAACGGCCTGCTTCGTGGCCACACCGCCGCTCCCACAGCAGTGCGTGCGTTCTCACTTCTCCCTGTCTCTGAGTCCAGACTGGAGGGGAAGCAGCCTGGGGTGGGGCCTGGTTCACGCACCCTGCCTGCTCCGCACTGAGCGGTCTCTCTGGCCAGGGTCTTGAACCTTGAGCAGACCTACCTCAGGTACATGCCAATGGCATACGCGCACAGGAAGGAGTAGTCCAGGGCCCCGAGCAGCTGCTGGTAGTTGTCCTGATCTGTGCGGGTGAAAATCGACAGGCACAGGGAGTAGTGCTGGGTTGGTCGGGGCACCGCCACACAGACGTCCTCTGAGTGGGCGGTGTGCTCAGAGGAGGAACGGGGATGTGGCGGCACACCTCTGCCGGGCTGCTTGGCAGACGGGAATGCAGCCACCACGTTCAAACAACCACTGAGGACACAGCCTTGGTGGGGGAAACCCACGCGGCCCACGGGGAGCCATTCTTCATTCCCTCCAGCACGGCCTCGGCCAGCCCCACCGGCCTGCGGCCCCTCCCTCCCTCCCGCCTGCGCTCTGCGTGCCTGACCCTGCCTCTGTGACCAGCACGGCAGGCTCATCCTCGGCAGACGTCCCCACCGCGAGAATCTGGCTCGGCCGCCAGCACCTCTTGGCCCAGGCCCGAGACACAGCAGCACTGCAGGAGTGCGAACTGAGGGAGGACGGAGCTCCCTGGGGACAGTCCCCCCCACGAACACAGGCCCCACTGCAGAGCCGGGAGGCTGGGGAGTGGGCCACGGCGGGGGTCTCGGCACCCCCCCCGGGAAGCACCCTCTCTGCAGGACGCCCGCTTCAGAACCCCGGACACAGAGAACTCACCGAACGGGGCCCAGCTACAGTCAGTCTCGTTCTCCGGGAGCTGGGGAGAGGGGACGTCACTGGCCCTTTGGCTCTGGCTGTTGAATCTGGCTCCATCCTCATTCCCAGCAGCGCAGGACCTGTGGAGCTCACCCTAGGACATCCGTGGGGAGGACGAAAGCCAGAGAGAAAAAGTGCACTCAGGTGGGGTTCGGCAGGGATGCAAAGAACAGCACCCCCTCTTACCAGCCTTCCCAGGGCACCTGGCTCGGTGGGGAGGAAGTCGCTGTTCGGGGGGTCTGCCTGCCGGACCCACAGAACTGGCGGGTAAGGTCCCTCGGGCTCTCCGGGAGCCCCACTCCTGAGCACACAGGGCCAGCACAGAGGCCCCGGGCCACAGGACTGCCCAGAGCGGCTGTGCGGCTGCGAGCGGACTGCCTCGTCCTCGGCCCGCCTGCCCAGACTGGCCACTGGGTCCATCTCGCCAGATTCACACGGCTGACCGCCGCGGCGATACAGAACGCGTTCCAGGTCCAGCACCAGGAGGATGCCCCCCACACACGGTAAGCCTGACACAGGAGCGCAAGCGGTAGGACTCTGTTTCCATGCACAATGTTCAAGAACAGGAAACTGAATCGTGGGGACCTTGGTGAGAATCGGGGTTACCTGGAGGGGGGTAGTGATGGGGGGCAGGGCGTAAGGAGCCCTCTAGGAGCTGGCAAGGGGCCAGACCTCAACCAGGTGATGCTTTCCTGGGCGAGTATGTAAATGTTTGTCCTGGCACGGTGCATGGGACTCCGCCGCTCTGTACTACACGGCTGTGTCATCAGCACCGGGACACTGCCCTAGAACTCTGGCCAAGGGTTCTGCTCTACAAATTCAAAGTGGCGACTTGACAAATGGCTTTCCTCAGCAGAGCCGCCCGGCCCAGGGCGGGAAGCTTCCTCCTGCTGACCGAGCCGTCCCTTGCCCCGGCCTACGCGCTCCGCCGGGGTGACGGTGCGGGGCTGTGGGCATGGCCGAGCTGGGGTCAGAGGCACCGGGAGGCCTGCGGTCTTTCCTTCCTGCATAAAGCTGGGGTTTCAGCATTTTCCCTTCCGCCGGACTGTACTGTCTTCTTCGCCCTCAGAGTCGGGGGCCCACCTGCTGCTGCCCCTCACGGAAGCCCAGCTGGCCAGACCAAGGTTCAGTGCTGGGCTCTGACCAGGGTTCAGTCAGAAAGCGACAGGTCTGGGGGAGAGGACCTCCGGCGGAGGGATGGGGCCGGGCGGCAGTGGCTCTAACACACACCTCCCGTGGAAGCGCGGGGAAGGGAATTTTAACCTCTCTCATCGCTTCGTGTTCCCAGGGAGGAGCCACGCATGGGAGAGATACGTAGACACGCACTCGTTCTGTTTCCTCAATAAGCAGAGCAGCCCTTCTGTTTTCTGCTGTCCTGTGACAAAAGGCAGCCTCGCCTCCTGGTCAGGGATGCAGACTCGGAGCTGGGATCCTGGTGCCACCGTGCCGGCTGCCGACCTCGACCCAGTCCTGTGAACTGCTCCCGTCCGTCAGGCTTGCAGCCGGATGGCCCAGCCGGCCAGTGCTGCTGCGGGGCGACCCGCCGCCCTCGGGCGGGGGCTCCCTGGTGATGCCCCACCTCCATCAGCGCTGCGGGCCTTCACCCCATGATCCAAACCCAGTCTTTCCAGGTCAATCCTGGACCCCGGGAAGGCTCCCCAACTACTCTGGTGCGCCCTCAGACTCTGCCACGGTTGCTTCCATTTTCCTGACTTGCCTTTCTCTTCAGCTGTGAGTGCATTTCCCTGGCCGGGGACAAGAAGCATTTAAATTCCCAGTGGCTGGTCGCACGTACTGACTGGAGTCACTGGGCGAGTGCGTGAGTGTTTGCGAAGGCCCCGCCTTACATTCTTTGTCAAGACCATGTGTCGAAAGGTCTGCAAACACCTCCGGTTATTTAAACTTGATATGTCAAAAAAGTGAGAATTTGCAAGTAACTTGAAAGGCACGGAAAATTCCTGCTTACTGGGAGTCAAGGAGGAAGTGCAGACTTTTGGAGGGAAGGGTTGATGCCCGACACCCACAGGGAGTCCCTGGAGAACCGGGAACCTGGACCTGCCACGGGAGCAGCCGCGGCACTGCCTCTCCCACCACCTGGACTCGGAGGGCGGCTGCCCAGCGCTCGGCCAGCAGAGCTCCGCCCGGGCTGTGCCCTGCCCCCGGCCAGAGAGAGGTAATGGACAATGTCCCTGTTCCTTCTACAGCACAGAGTCGAAAGCCATTCAAGCCTGTTGACAATCTACAGGCAAAGTGATGCGATTCCAACGAGGGTCAGAAAACCACCTTGCTTTCCCTGAGTGAAGCTGGCTACTGTGTAGGAGTATTGACTCGAAGCCGAATGTCTGCTGGCAGCTTCCTGCCAGCCCCCCCTTCCGGCCCCGGGGCAGCAGCTCGGTGCTCCGAGAATCACGAAGAACCCAGAACCGCCGCCACAGCCCGGAGCGAAGCGCGGGACACGTCCAGAGGGCACCGTTTGGAGGGCAGTCACAAAAGGGTACCTATTTAATGAAGCTTTAGAATTTTGAAACTGTCAACTAGTATTTCTGAAAGGATATACTACCTCTGAAAGTATAGGTCCTAGAAACATGTTAAAGATTTTAATTTCAGAGAAGAGAAACTAAAAAGCAAAGCAGCAAAGGACCTGCTTCCACCCCATCCATTTCCCAGGTAGCTCACCTCCTCCCTCCCTGCCCCCGCCAGGAGCCCTACAGTAACGAGTTCCTTAGGGAGATTGCAGGCAGGACAGAAAACGAAGTGTGTCTTACCTTAACGATGCTGATAGGCTTTCGCGATAAGTGGAAACTCGCGTACAGCAAAAATGTCAAAATAAAAACGAAGGCTCTGTACCTGAAACACAAAACAGTGGTGGGAGATGATACCCAATAGTATGAGAATACATGGCAACTGTAATTTTTTTTTTATTCTCACCCGAGGACATTTTTCCATTTTTTGTTCAGGTAGAGTGGGAGGGAGAAAGAGGAACAGAGAGAGAGAGAGAAACATCGATGTGAAAGGAACACATCGAGTGGCTGCCACCCGCACAACCGACCAGGGCCGGGGACAAACTGCAACCGAGGTACGTGCCCCCAGCAGGAACCGAACCCAGGTCTCTCAGGACCGCAGGCCGGCGCTCTAACCGCTGAGCCAAACCGGCCAGGGCGTAACTGTAATTCTTAAATGTTCTTACGCTGTGTGTTCCTCAGTCAGTCCTATATCGATGATCACTCCTATTTATATCACTATCATAGTATATTTCATTTTATTTTTTATCCTCACCTAAGGATATTTTTCTATTTATGATCAGATAGAGTGGGAGAGAAGGAGACAGAGAAAGAGGGAGAGAGAGAGAGGAAGTGAAACATAGATTCGAGAGAGGCACATCGACTGGCTGCTTCCCTCACGACCCGACCAGGGCCGGGGACGAACTGCAACCCAGGTAAGTGCCCTTGACTGGAATTGAACCCGTGACTCATTGGTCCACGGGCCAACACTCTAACCACTGAGCCAAACCGGCCAGGGCATAATATTATAGTTTAAAAGTGGGACTTTTGCTCTGTCCAAATTGAAACTATTTCAACATTCATTAACAAACTATAATCAAAGAGAAATCTGGGACGCAGAAGATGAACATAAGTTTACAAAGCAGACAAAAAGGAATGATTATTTAGTTTGAAACAAAATTAACCACAAGTTTCCTGTACCCCTGGTATCCTGGGCATTTAGGATGGTATTTTTTACTTTTTAGCTTCTATGAAACTTTTCCAAAAGACACAAGCAAGGCAGAGACATAAACCTCTCACTGACCTCAGGAGGGATGCTCATGAGCTATGAGTAGGCCGACGGCACAATCAGACTGGCCCAAAGCCCGGCCGCACTGTCTGGCTCGTGGGAAAAGCGGCTGTGGGGAGGGCCAGTGCTGAAATGCATGGGAGTCTAAAGAAAAGAAGATACTTTGGGAGGATGATAAAAGTTCATTCCAGTCTAAAAATTTGAACCATGCCGTGGAAAAACATTTCTTAAGGGAAAAAAATCCGTCAGGAGGGAAAAGTATCTGGCAAGGTATGAAGACAAGGGGCTCCCACCAGGAGAGTAGATCCTCTGTGTCCTGAGACCCAGCCCCCAGAGGACCCGTCCTGTTTCTGGCCTGACTTTCGAGTTGAGTGATGGCTTGACTCTATAATTACCTAGGACACAGGCAGCAGAGATAGAACAGAGACAGGCAGGGGCCCGTGTCCCCTGGGGCCCTCGGTGATGCTGGGACTCTCCTCTAGGCTCATGTCCACGGTTGTAATTGACTTCTCTAGGGCAGCTTTCCATGAATAACAAAGAATCCTAGGGGTGCCTGCCTCTTTGGCCAGTAGGGGACAAATAAATATTTCTAAATTAAAAATAAAGATCATATTTCATGTTTCGGGTGGGAAAAAAGAGTTGGTGGGACCATGGGAATATAGCCTACAACTGCCAGGGTACCCGAGGGAGAGGAACACGCTAAATAAATACTCGAGAACTGAGTCATGACATGCCCCGGGTGCCCCTTCACCGAGGGGCACAGGCTGATGGTGTTCCTAGGATTCTCTGCTCTCAAGCCCATGCCAACAACCAGTAGGAAAAGAAAACCATAACAAATAAGTGTATGTTTTATACCAACAACAAGACTATGCAGGTACGGTGGGTTTCTTACAAAGTGCGGACCTTCGTCCTGTGTTTCTGAAGGCCACCTGTCTGGGCGGGGACGGAAGTCTCAGCTCTTCGCTTGGAGTGCTGTCCCTCCACCCAGCTCCGGCGCGTGCTGGCCAGCACAGGGGGACTCCAGGCCCTCAGAGCTCTGTATGCCCGCAATCCCCAGACTCCCAGCCCACAGGCAGATTCGCTGGTCACTTATGTCCTCACTGGGTGTAAATTACTAGCATGAGTGCAGCCCATGGGGAACCCTGCCTGACCTGCCCCCTTTTGGGTACAGGGTTCCCTTGTCCCATCTCCACAAGGAGTATTTTGAAAGGGTTCTCAGACTGGGTTATCCTCACACCTCCCAGATCAGTGTGAAGGAAGAACCTGGAGCCCGGAGGTGCTACACACTACCAGGTGCAGGCGTGTGCTCCACCGGCAGAATCTGAATCATCATCACCAGCCAGGAAGGGTTTGGAAAAAGTAGCTCTACTGAAATGGGCTTTGGGTTCATGCTCTCTACCCAGACATAAACAGAATTCTATTTATAAATATTCTATTTTTATTAAATATATCAACACATTTATAAATAGAATAAATAACCCAGAAATAAAGAGCTCCTCCGTATGTCTAGACCATGTCTGAAGAGCCTGGGGCCCTCGTATACCTGCATTCTTAGATAGTCAAGCTGTCTGGGTTATCAACCCAGTGGCCATCCTTGGGCCATTGCCCTCCTTCCCTGGAACTCCACTTCCAGCCCTGGCCTCTGCCTCCATCCCGGGGCCGATGCCCCTCCTCTAACTGGGTTCTGCGGTGCTGCTCACCAGCACTGGGCCTGGCAGCACAAAGGGGCCCCAGGACTGCCTCGCTGGGGCATGCCAAGTGGAGCTCATGCCCAGGGGTGCTCCATTAGCTCGTGGCCGCAGAGGGCAGCAGCGCACACTTCCAGCTGAACTGAATTCAGCTCGGTTTTGCGTGGAGTGAAATACCTTATGCCTCAGCCGGCAGGATGCCAGGTTCTCTTAGCAACACTGGCCAGTGCCGCCTTGATTTCTTTCTTTTTTTTCTTAATTTTTTTTCCTTTTTGATTTGAGAGAGAGAGGAAGTGAGAGGGAGAGAGAGATAGAAACATCGATGAGAGAGAACATGGACTGCTGCCTCCTGCATGCCCCCCACTGGGGATCAGGCCCACAACCTGGGCATGTGCCCTGACTGGGAATTGAACCAGCGACCTCTTGGTCGACGCTCAGCCACTGAGCCACACTGGCCGGACGCCTTCTTGATTTCTTTAATTCCAGTCCAATACCACATGATTCATTTAGTCCCTCCTCTGCCCACATTTTACTCCTCTTTTCTGTGGTATTCTTGGGGGGGAAAAAAAGGCATAAACTCAAAGCTAATCATGAGGAAATTCTAGACACATCTAAAACAAAAGATAGTCTATAAAAAAATGGCGTGTACCCTTTGGAAATGTCAAGGTCATAAAAAAAAAATTAAAAAAAAAAAAGGCCAAGAAAGAATTCCAGATGAACCAGAACAGACCACGGCACAGCTGACTGCAGTGTGCCCGGCTGGACCCCGGGCCGGAAGACAGCTCTCAAGGACGTCGCTGGACACTGGATATAACTTTGAACGTGGACTGTGGATTAGATGACAGCACGGTATCGGTGTTTAATGCCTGATTTTGATCTTTGTGTGTAGTTATATGAGAATGTCTTATTTACAGAAAATACACACTGAAGTGCTTAGAAATAAAAGGAAATAATTAGTGCAACTTACTCTCAAACGATTTATAAAACAGCGTGTGCATGCACACACACGGGGAAGCAATGAGGGAGGCGCTAGGGTTTGTCCGCCGGTCAGCCCAGGCCCCGCAGTGGGACTGGGTGCTCACTAACAGTCCCTCTGCCCCAGCTCACTCTACTCAAGATTCAAAGCCCCGGGAGACAGACCTGTAGCTCCCTTGCCTTCCACCTGCCTCCTGCTGGACCTGCGCTGTTCAGGAAGGTGCTGGGCATGAAGCCCCGAGGGCCTCCCTCAGCAGCCATAGGAGACAGAAAGTCCTGAGACTCACCTGACCGTCCCAACTGCGCACAAAGTAGGGAAGCCAGTTCCCAGATGGAAATCAAAGAGCTGCTAGAAATGGGCAGGTGTGCTGGGTAGAAACACATAGAAAATGTCCTTTGTAGCCCTGGCTGGGTTGGCTCAGCGGTTAGAGTGTGTTGGCCCACAATCCAAAGAGCTGTGGGTTTAATTCATGTCAAAGGCATGTACCTCAGCTGCGATTCCATTACTGGCCCTGGTTGGGGTCGTGTGGGAGGCAACCAATCGATGTGTCTCTTTCACATCAATGTTTCTGTTTCTCCCTCCCCCCCTCCCCCTCTCCCTCCTTTCCTCCTCTCTCCCTCCCTCTCTATCTGAAAATCAATGGAAAAATATCCTCAGGTAAGGATTTAACAAAAAAGTCTTTTGTAGGAATGTTAAAGCCAGTCTCTTTAGGATTGCTAAATCTCAGTTAAAATAACTTTTAAAGGTCAAAGAACAAGTTGGAGATAGAGATGGAACAGAATTAAGACAAATACTCTAGCCCAGCCAATGTGGCTCGGTGGTTGAGTGTGGTCCTATGCACCACGAAGTCGTTGGTTTGATTCCTGGTCAGGGCACATGCCCGGGTTGCCGGCTTGATCCCCAGTAGGAGGCGTGCAGAAAGCAGCTGATGTTTCTCCCTCATCAATGTTTCTCTCTCTCTCTCCCTTCTCCCTACCTCTCTCTGAAATCAATAAAAACCACCACCACCACAAAAAACCCCAAACAAACAAAAACAAAATCAAACAAACAACAAGTAAAAAGACAAATACTCGATACCCTTGCTACCCAAGGGGGGTCAATGGACTGATGGAACCATCACCTGGGAAGTGCGGAGTCTCAGGCGCACCCCAGACCTACTGAGTCAGAATCTACATTTTAACACGCTCTCGGGGGGATTCACCTGCTCGCTGAAGTTTGAGAAGCACTGCTATATCTTTGTAGTTCTCACCCTTACAAAATAAGAATCTGTGATACCCGGGAGTTCTGCAGTTCTTTGTAACAGTCTTGTCATTTCCTTCCGTGAGTTTGAAAGTTGTATCAAAATGAAGTTATGAAACAAAGAAGCGAAAGATAAACACTCCCCAAATAAAAGGTAAGTGTTTGAACGCTTGTGGCTAGATTTGCAGTAGACACGAAACAAGTGGACAAGGAAGGAATGAGATGTCTGAGGTTCACCTGAGGCCAGGGGGTGCTCCATCCCTCAGCAGAGGCCTGAGAAGATGCAGAGAGTGTGGCGGCCACAAGTGGGCTGTCGTGATGGAGACGGAGGGGTCCTGAATATGCCACCATGGCATACAAATTATTTTGAGCGGAAAGCATCGGAGTTCCTGGAATCTATGTCTCAAAGCAGAGCCTCCTGAAAAAACTCAAGGACGTCCCTCCCTGGGAGCAGCCTGGGGAGGATGACTCATCACTGAGAACGCGAAGCATCCGCACCACACCCAGGCGGACACCGTCACAGCCCTGATATCTCCCATCTACTCTCTTAAGGCCCATTTACCTGTCCAAAAAGTCGTGTGTTTTCTCCTAAGTGCCTTCCTCCTCCTCCTCTTCCTTATTAACCACAAGTTCTAACAACCTCTTTTGAGTCACATTTTTATGTAAAAACTCTGGTATATATGTGATTGAATCTCTTCTCTCTTGTGAATCTTTTTTTTCAGTTTTATTTGCATGCCCCCAATTACTGAACCTAAGAGGGTAGATGAAAAATTTTTTCCTTCCCAACTGAGCTCAGGAAGGGAGACACCACTGACTGTGGGTTAGAGGCCAGAGGGCCCCGCCCTGCCCTCTGTCCCTCCGTGGGCTTCCTTCACCGACATGGAATTCACGACCACCCCCATCCTTCCCAGAGGGTTCTCAGAACACGCCAGCAGAGGTGCTTTGGGAAGAGAAGGTCTTCTGGTCGGCATTTAACTTGTTTAGGTTTTATTTTCTCTCTGGAAGCTCTGCCCCAGCTAGGCCACTTACTGAGCTCAGAGTTCATACTTATTTCACTCACGGGCAGGCTATATCCTGCTGGTGGTCAGTGGTCAATTTTCTGTGGGAGCCATGAGTATCACAGAAACCACTGAAGACCATGCGGGAGTTCAAATGCTCTGTGTCCCTGCCAGAGTCGAAGACGGAGGACAACTTGGCGATGTTCCTCACAGCTTTCACCGCTGATTCCACGGTTACAGGGAGGCCAGCACCCGTGCGCGTTTTACCGTGAAACGGAGGGAGCTGGCGCACGGTGACCCTCACCCACGCTCAGTGCCATGCTGGGGCTGGAGCTGCCGGGACTTACCACTGATCCCGGGAGAATGAGATGATGAAGCGGATGCCAGCAGGGAGCTGAGCCATTTACTCGAGGACCACAGAGCTTTGGTCACGAATCAGATGCTTCATAAAGAGGTTACTAATCCTGGCTCCAGTCGCTCCTGTCCCTGCGCTCGCACAGGCTGGAGAGCACGCCGAGCTGTCCTGCTGCGTCTTGGGCCCCCTCTTCCTTGCTGCAGAGGCCGCGTGCTCTACAACGAGAACGAGGAGGTGAAGCCAGGTGTTCCTACAATGGCACCTTGGAGACCCTGGCAGAAGAAACTGCCTGTGCAGTTGTTACCCAGCCCAGGCCAAAGCTGGCCTTCCTGGACGATGGGCATGCCCACCCCCAGGCCACTAGGTGGCAGGACAGCATCTGCCTGGGGCGGGCGGCAGGGGATGGGGGTGGGATGCTGTTCAGAAATCACTGAAATGAATTTCACACGATGTTCTGATGATATAAGAAGAACCACCTTGTTCTTCTCCATCTGGAAGGCATCTAGAGATCACCCTGTTGGCCCTTAACCACAATACCCTCCAGAACATGAGCGTTCACATGGAACAGGATGCGCCCAGTGGTTATGCCATGTGCTCAATTATCAGAGCACGCCAGGGAACCGGACGTGTTCCATTCCACCCACTCTGGACCAGGCCACAACTGAGCCACAATAACAGAGGGGAATGTAGGCCTGGACGAGATGGCAGGTCATCAAACCGATCATTTAATTGTGGCTTTGCAGATGAATGGAAATGCATGTAATGCTGGGGGGGTAAACTTCACCTCGCAACTGCCTCTCCACCTCTCCTGTGGTCACTCAGGCCACGGCGAGCGACCCCATTCTGAGGGCAGAGCGAGGCAGGAAGGAAGGGGCAGTGGGGCTGAGAACCGAAAAGGGGCCCCGCATACCAGCCAGGCTTCCTGTCCAAAGCCAACCTCATGACTTGTCTCATTTTTCAGTTTTTATTCTATTCTTGGCAACAAGGGGTCCTTTAGACCAAAGCGTTAAATAACACAGTCCCCAGTGTATACAGAGCATGGCTTGTTCTGTTTTATTATTGAAAATTCACGGGTTATATAATTTTTAAAAATACGTAAAGCTACTTTTTAAAAATTAAAATCTTTTTTCCTTTATTGATTTTAGAGAGAGAGGATGGGAGAGGGAGAGAGATAGAAACATCGATGAGAGAGAACATCGAATGGCCGCCTCCTGCATGCTCCCCACTGGGGAGGGCCCACAACCTGGGCATGTGCCCTGACCGGGAATCAAACCCACGACCTCTTGGTGCAGGGGTCGACGCTCAACTACTGAACCACTCCAGCCAGGTGAAAGCTACTTCTGAGTAAACACTAATCTTGACTTAAAGAAGCTGATATTTATGTAATGTCTTCAAACAATTTCCTTGGGATAAGGGACAAGTAATAGCAAATAGTTCAGATTTGGAGGGCTTACACTTATACTTGTAAGTGCCTGTATTTTCAGTTAGACCTGTTCCCCATGTTCGTTCCTGCCCTCCGTCCAGAGTGAGCTTTCAAAAAATGCACCATCTCCAATGATTTTTTTTATACTACTTAAAAAAATTAAATATCCTTGCCAAGCTTTCATCCCTGGGCCCCGGGCCCCACCCCGAGGGCCCCTCTGCTCCAGCCAGAACTGTACCTCTGTTCCCTCCAGCCAGGCCCTTCGGGCCCACCAGGACCATCACTGTTGTATGGTCTCAGCTGCTCATCCCACCGAGAGTGTCACTACTCCCACAGCTGGCTTTGGGCGTCCTCACCTGCTAAAACATAGGGCTGAGGGCAGCTACATTTGGGTGGCTGTAGAGGGCATGCGATAATCCACAGAAAGCCTTCAGCACCAGTCTGACATGTAGCAGATGCTCAGCAGAGAGCAGCTGGCATTACTCTTACTGTAGACTCGGGAGAAGACGAGGCCCGTTACCTCGTTCAGAACCGAGCACAGAGCAAGCGCTCGAGAGATGGGTTGGACTAATTTTCACAGTTCTTCACAATTGTTTTTACTCAAATCTCTAGATTTAAAATATAGTTTACTAAAATTCTGCTGCAAATGAGTGGGCTTCGGTTTGGGCCTAAATGTACTTCGAGAAACAATTTTGCAATGATGACTTGAGAGTCAAGGATCTGGTTTAAATCTTACAGTGTCTGAGAACGGATGGCGAGGACCCCATGTCTTCCTGTTCGAACTCTGCTTCTGGAGGCCCAGCTGATCTGGGAATATCCTACTGCCAGTCACTAAACCAACCAATCACCTCGATTCAATTCTGCTGAAACCTGTACCAACAACAACGAAGACGCAGAAGGCACTGGAAAAGCAGCAGGAAGAAGATCTTGATTTCCTTGAAAGTCATGCGGGCTCCTCCCGCTGTAAGCCGAGTGGGAAGCACTGTGACCTCTCACAGTAAGTGCGATTAGGATGTGTGAAGATAACGAGTTTACACGTGGGATGTTGAGAGTTGTGTCATGGGGCCTCTTCCTCCAAAGCCTGAGCCGTGTCCACGGAAAGTCATTCCACGGAGTGCTGGTAGAGGCCCGAGGTCTCGTGTGAGCCCACGGCCACTCTGGGGAAGAGGCAGGCGGCTGGACAAACTGGGCCAAATCAGGTCGGTCCAGTTTCCCGCAGGCCCCGCCCCCCTCCCACCTCACTTCCTCTGGCCCATCCCCTCCAGGGAGGGCAGAACTGGAGCAAATCTCCTGGCTTACGATCTGTTTTTGGCACATAGTCCAAGAACATAGACGGCATTTTGTTAATGGCTTTTACTAGGGGCCCCTGGACTGCACCACCACAACAGGGAAAAGTGTCAGAATATCCAGTGTCATTCTATCAAACATAGCTACTTGGGAAACATCCCTTTAGAGAAACTTGATGAAAATCTGTCAAACGCAGATTTTTATATCCGTCCTCCCAAACAACCCAACCTAGTCAACCATGAGGAATGATCCGAGGCAACCATGGTTCTAGAGCCCCGCCCACAGGCACCCCCCTCCCCCCCTCGTGGTGACCCTGGGAGCCTAGAACAATTCCCGAAAAAATAATGAGACTCAGAAGTCAGCATGGCCAGAGTAGTATCAGGACCGAAACCGAGGCGCTGCTGTGACTGATCTAAGCAGCCCCAGGTGTGTTTTAAATATTTACCTAAAGACGAAGTTTTGAAAGTGGATCTTATTTTAAGGCAAGGATGGGTGAACATTGTATGTCCCCCCAAAACGTTATCTGAGAGGAAAAAATATCCTTTCCAGAAAACAAACAAACAAACAAACAAACAAACAAAACAAAACCACTTTCTGTGGTTTGTGTTTTAAAGGCTCTACTCAATACCAGAGATGAATGATAATGGCCACTATCTCTCCCCGGAGCTTCAATACAAAAGCAAATCCTCTCTCCTAGAACCAACCAGACAGGGCACAGAACCACCTGCCAGTGGAGTTCCAGGGGGTGTGGTGAGACAGCCAGGCTGGGGCGGCGGCAAGGCTGAGGGAAGGCAGTTCAGTGAGCGAGCGAGGGGGGAAATCCGAGCTGGTCACCCACCCAAACCGCCTCCCGCGCACTAAGTTCAAGGTCGGAGGGCTTTCCAGACAGTGAGCTCCGCGGGCTGGGAGAGACGGGCTCAGGGTTCGCCTTTAGAAGAGCGGACCCGGGGGTGGGGTCAGGGGCTCTCCCGGTCCAAATGCAGACCCTGCGGCCCGCTGCGATCTCCTCGCTTAAGCGGCAGAAGCAGGAGGACTGGACAAAAAGGAAAACAGTGCGCGACTGGGGTGGCCCGTGGCGGGGGACTTCGTGGCGCCTTAAGCCCTACAAATACCGAAGGTCACTGTCGCTCGCGTTGGCAAGGAGGCTCACGGTCTCGGGAACCAGCTGCTCAACAGACAAACAAGCCAAAGGCCCAGGGTGCTGACGCACCGAGCCTCCCGGGTTCCTTTGCCGACTCCTTCCCGGCGGCTGGTCCCGGCGCAGGTGGACCCGGCGGGCACGCCCACGTCCCCACAGTGCGGCGGACAATGCGTGGGTCTCCTCCTGCCCTGTCCCTAGACACCAGGCTGTCATCACGGCCAGGGCGGCTGGGGAGGGGACCCGGCAAGACAGCTCGTCTCGTTCCCGCCCGCGGCTCCGGCCCAACCCGGCTCCCCTGCCCCGCTTGCCTGGAATGCCCGCGCCGAGTCGGGACGAGTGGGGACGCCCGCCGCTGCTCTCCCCGTCCCGAGGATCCCCAGGGCCGGGAGCGCTGGAGACGCCGGCCCAGCCGAACACAGGCACAAAGCGGGGCGGAGGGGGAGCAGCTCGCAGGGCGCAGGGACCCGGTCCCTGCGGGCAGCGCGCCCCTGCCTGTCGCCCGCGGTGGCAGGTGCAGCGTGGTCACGGCGCCCGAGTCCCGCGGCCCCGCAGGTGCGGGCGGTGAGGAGGGGTCCCCACGCCAATCGCAGTCCCTGCGCCTCACCTGCGCGGCCCAGGCCCGCTCACTGCAGCCGCCCGGCCTCGGTGCGCGCTTCCTGCTCGCGACTTCCTGGGGCGGCGCAGGCCCTGCGGCCCTTTCACTTTCCTCGGCCGCAGGGCGCCAGGCCGGGAGGTGCAGGCGGCTCAGCCCCTCCCCTTTTCGTTCATCCCCTTCCCGCCCCCCCCCCCCAGCCCTGGGCCAGTTGTTGCCCGCCCCCACCCCCACCCCCACCCCACCGTTGCTCTCAGGATTCTTCCCTGGTCCTGTGCCCTTGCACCTGCCTGCCGGCCACTTACTGGCATGTTCTCCTCTGGCCAAGGGAGCTCCCCAAGGGCCCCTGTCCTCAGGTAGGTCTTACCTAATGGCACCCAAGCAGCGATCCCCCAGCAAGGACTGGCGCGAAGAGGGCCTGCCTTGGCCTCCTGTCCTCTCTGCCTACTGCCCCTTCTCCAGGGTCAGAGTCATGATGCTAGAGGTCTATTAAGTGACAACGGGACCCAAGGACAGGCTATGTTGAACCATCTTTATCGCACACGTACGGTGTGACGCGAAGCTCCCCGCTGTCTGGAGAACTCCAGCCTGGCCCCCGTCACTTGCATCCCCCATCGCCTCTGGCTCCACGGCAGCTCCCCCAGCAGATCCCGGACAAGCATGCGTACCTGCAGGCCACCCACAGTACACACTGCAACCAGCTCAGCCCAGGCGCCCAGTCCCAGGAGGAGCAGAAAACACACTTTGCAAATGGAATTCCTGAAAGAAGACTGCCCCTGGGTAAAACAATTTTTAAGCCTAAAACCAATCCAAGGCCAGGCTGTAAATGCTCCAAAAGTTCTGTCTGGACAGCACCCCAGGCCTCTGGCGGGCACACAGACCTGCCCTGCCCAGTGCCCCCTCAGTCAGGCCTGGGAAGACCTCCTCCTCCCTGCCAAGCCTTATAGCCCCCACCCCGTTTCCAGAACACCCTAATACCTTTTTCTGTTGGCTGAGTTGGGTTGGGTCAAGTGCACGCCTTCTGTACGCCTTTGAGAAGTGTTCATGCAGAAAGGAAACCTGCTGAGTTCACTGGGCTCCAAGGTACAGCAACAGGACCCCCCCCCCCCCAATACTGCAAGGAAGCTGGCCCAGGGCCTCTGGACTTCTCTCTCCCTTTGGCGAGGTCTCTTTCTGTGGACCGCCTCTCTCTCAGGCAATTCCTTCCCTCCTTCCCCTAACCCTCCATTCCTGGTCATCCACACACCAGCCCAGTCGGCTCCCATCTCTCCCCGCTTGTCTTTTTGCCTACACGATAGTCCGCACGGGGCTCCTCCGCTCTCTGGAACTTGGGCTTCAGCCTCCCCACTCCCAAGCTCTCCCTCAGGCAACTGACTTCTCCAGCTGCCTCCAGCTGCTTGAACACCCTTCCAGATCCCTGTCACATGCAAGAATGAGACTAAATTCTTTAGTACCTGGGAAACAAGGCCTGAACCCATGTTTGCAGCTTCCTGCCCAAAGCTGCCGGATGGCGCTGTAGTTTCCAAGACACGTGCTTTCTCACATGTTGGTACTTCTGCCTTGGCCCTCCCGACCCCGCCTTTCCTGTAGGCGCACTCTGAGGCCTGGATCAGCGCCGTCTGCCCTCTCCGGCCATCTCATGCATTCCCGGGCGCTGTGGGCACCTCTGGGTCCTCACTTAGCACATGAGTTGGGGCTAGCTGTTTCTAGATCTATCTCCGGGGTCGGGGGGCACCGACCCCACGTCTACGAACCACACGGACGGATGCAGTGTGGCACAGTGCAGGGCATCCTGACTGCAGGGTGGCACAGTGCAGGGCATCCTGACTGCAGGGTGGCACAGTGCAGGGCATCCTGACTGCAGGGTGGCACAGTGCAGGGCATCCTGACTGCAGGGTGGCACAGTGCAGGGCATCCTGACTGCAGGGTGGCACAGTGCAGGACATCCTGACTGCAGGGTGGCACAGTGCAGGGCATCCTGACTGCAGGGTGGCACAGTGCAGGACATCCTGACTGCAGGGTGGCACAGTGCAGGGCATCCTGATTGCTGGGTGGCACAGTGCAGGGCATCCTGACTGCAGGGTGGCACAGTGCAGGGCATCCTGACTGCAGGGTGGCACAGTGCAGGACATCCTGACTGCAGGGTGGCACAGTGCAGGACATCCTGACTGCAGGGTGGCACAGTGCAGGGCATCCTGATTGCTGGGTGGCACAGTGCAGGGCATCCTGACTGCAGGGTGGCACATGGCACAGTGCAGGGCATCCTGACTGCAGGGTGGCACAGGGCGTCCTGACGGCTTTCACATTTTCTCACATGGAAATGGTAATATTCGTATGGCACACTGGGAACACCAGAGGGGATCTGGGGTGGTCCATATCATGTTGCCAATTGAAAATAGTAATCTTTTAATTTTATAAAAATTAAGACATTGTTTATCGAATATCAATCTTTTATATTATAAGAAGTATTTAAACATGAATTAGAGGAGAGAGTAAATTTGTGTAAGACTTCCGAAAGGAAAATTTGTGATTGCTTCGACAGACATCCAGGTTCTGTGCTTGAAGTGGTTGCACACAAGCTCAGGACAGAGGGGAAGCCGCGATGTCACCATCCAGACTTTCTTCACGCAAGTAAACCATTTTTTATAATCACACAAATTTTACCACAGCTGAAATGATACTTAAAGAATCTACCAACTCTTCTTTGTTTCATTGACGTGTAATACTGAAATTTCTAGTGAGACTCTAATGAATTTCCAACCCAGTTGGACTTTTCATATCCAGTATTTCAAAATCATGACAAAGTGTGCCAGGCCAGCCGCAGTGTGCCCTTGGCCTTCCGCCGACACAGCCGTGGGCAGGGTTTGAGAGATGGGCCCGGTGCCCAGACGGGGGCCGCCAGCTGAGCGCACTGCCTGGGTGGGACCCTGCTTTAACCCGAAGCTTCCAGGCTTGCTTTGAATTTGTGTGGAGTTCACTTCAGTAAGAGGAACAGACGAAGCGGGAGGGCCTTCACTCTTCCCGACAGACGTCAAAGGGGCGGGCGGAGGCCAGCCCTGTGCCACCCCTGAGGCCTCGGAGCCCACACGGGGTCTTTGCTCTTGAGCGTCCATAGAACAAAAGGCAGCTGGCAAGAGCAGGTGGTCTGCTCAGAGGGAAGCTGATGTGCAGGTGAGGAGGGCTCGCACCCATTGCCTAGGCCGCCCCAAGAGCGCCTCGGGCTGGATGGCTCCGGGCGGCGGGGACTCACATCTGAGTTCTGGAGGCCGGACGTGAGAGCAGGTGCTGCAGGGCCACGCTGCCCGGAGGCTCCAGGGCACAGTCTGTGCCACACCGTCTCTCCGCTCCTGCTGCTGCTGACTCGTGACGTTCCTCAGCTTGTGGCTGCACCACCCGGTGTGTCTGCTCACATCGGCTTCCTCCTGTGTGTCTCTCTTCTCACAAGGACACCAGTCATATTGGATTTTGGGTGCATCCTTCTCTGGTATGACTTCAACTTTACTAGTTACCTTTGCAACTACCCTATTTCCAAATAAGGTCCCAGGAAGGAAATGAATTTTGTGGTGGTCATGGGGGGGGGGGGCGGCGCTATTTAAGCCAGTACTGAAATATTACACAGGTTTAAGCAGGGTGTGAGGAAATTAATGAGAAAATGCACCCCCAGGCTAGCAACATCAGGAAGTTAGCACCCTAAGCCTGAAGAGGAAACTGCTAGATAGGGGGAGGGGGGCCCAGCAGGGAAGGAGTCGGAGTAAAGAGCTTGCTCTCCGCTCCACTGACCACCCACCACGGAGGTGGAGGCCCAGAGCCCCACTGATGCCCTCCCTTCAAACAAAGGTGGCAGACAGGTAAACAGCCATCCCAACACTGTGCTACACATTATAATAGAGGACACACCATGGGGTGCGAGAGGGGGTCGCCTTACCCAGACTCAGTGGTCACAGGAGGCAACCTCTCCGGAGCAGAGAGTTGGCTGAGAGCACATGCAGGCTGCAGGCCATGGTGCAAGTAAGGTGTGTGTGTGTGTGTGTGTGGGGGGGGGGGGGGCAGAGCTGCAGCGATCCAGACCTGAGATTATTATGCTTGTTGGAGAGTGCAGACTCCAGAAAGGTCTAGAATGTGACAGGAAGGAGGCAAGGGAGAGGGAGGAGCGGGGTGACACCCAGGTGTCTGGCTTGGATGGCTAAGTGGACGGTGGCGTCTTCATGGAGACAGGGAGCATACAAAGGACAAACAGACTTGGGGGTGGGGCTGAGCTAGAATTTATTTGTACTTGCTGAGCATTTGGCTCCTGTGGGAACTTCTCAGTGGAGATGTTGACCAGGGTTGGATGTGTGGGTCGGGAGTCTGGAAGAATCCTAGGCTGGCAAGAGTATCAATAGCAACTGAGTGCAGGCGTCTAAACGGACCCCCAGGGTGCTAACATTTCAGGGCCAGGCAGGGAGGAGGAGCTGGAGGGGCGTGTGGGTCCAAGAAGCACAAGGAAGGCCGCGTCTGCAGAGTGGGGTGCTGCCCAGAAGTCAGGGTCTGCTGGCTTCACCCAGGAGATCATGCTGCCACTTGCACAAAGGTGGGGTGGGGTGGGTGGCAGACGGCTGTGGGGACTGAGTGGGGAGTGAGGAAGAAGAGACAGCGTGGAGCAGACACACTTTCAGGAAGGGAGGAGGACGAAGGGCGCAGAGCTGGAGCGGGGCTGGGGAAGGAGGAGGGATATTTTGAAACGTATGGACATTTTCAAGCATAAACAGGAGTCGAGAGAACACTGCAGTGAAGCCCAGGCACCGATTCCCCAGCTGCATCAAGTATCAGCACACGGCGGGTTGTGTTTCCTTTCTGTCTCCACTTACGTCCTTCCCCCAGGATTATTTTGCAGCAAATTCCAGCCCTTGTAGCACTTCATTGGTAAAGTTTCAGCATGCTTCTTTGAAAGACTTGGTTTTAAATGTAACCACAATACCATCACCATGGCTCTCCTAACAAGGACAGTTCCCGGAGAGCATCCGATCCCCAGCCCGTGTTCTCACTTCCGTGACTGTCCTGCAAGTGTTCTGGCTCTCAGTTTAGTCTGTCTCCAGTGGGGATCCAAAGAGTCCTCACACATAGAGCTTGGTGTGTCTCCTAGGTCTCCCTCTGCAGACTTGCCCGCACCCCTCCCTCTCTGCCCCACGAATGTGTTGCGGTGGCTGTTCCAAAGGCCAGGACATCTGCTGTTCAGGTTCCTTCACTCTGTGCTGTGCTCTGTCTTCAGGATGCGGTCTAACATGTTCTTCCATCCCCCGTTTTTCCTGAATTGACAGCGATGTCTAGAGGCTTGATCAGATTTGGGCAGATTCGAAGCAAGCACACAGCGTCTGGTCAGCTCTTTCTGAAGTCTTAGGTGTTCCTCATCGAAGTTCCTTAGTTCATTAGAAGTCGGAATTCACAGAAGTGGATTGGGCTAAACTATTTTCAGTCTCTCTTTCTCGTAGCACACTTCTGTAAGGAGGACTTCTCCCCATCAGGGATTTACTTCAGTTAGTTAGCTCTGAGATGCAGTTAATATAGGAAAGGCAGGATGAATGCAGGCTCCCTCTTTTGTCACTTTTCAAAACAACGCTTTGGTTTTCTAGTATTCTTCAAATGTTCTCAATGCGTTTTCTTTTGCGTTTTACTGGACGAACTAGTAGACCGAGTCGCAGTCGGTGTGCTCTGATCCACTGCAGCGACACTTCTGACAGAACGTTGTCTGCTCATCTTTGGCCCGGGGGACCCTCTTCTAACCATCTGGAGTCCTTCTGACATGACCCTGGTATCTTGGACAGTTCCCCTGCTTCCTACCACGACAAGATGTTCTGAACCCATCTCCTACAATTTCTGCCTCAGACTTGGAATCTGCCATTTCTCCTAGGAGGCCGGGTCCTCACGAAGTCGGGAGAGAGGACGGGAGTAGGTACGCACAGGAGAGAAGTCTACGCGCTCAGTGACACATGTCCCTTCAAAGGCAGAAAGAGAAGGACTTCAAAACATGTGCGGAGCAATGAGCCTTAGGATGGAGACGGTACAATCTGCAGACAGAACATTTTGTGGGCGGGGAGACAGAAGTTGAGAGTTCTTACATAGTTTTCCTTTGTTGCAGAAGACAAAGTCAGTTGCTGAAAGTGCAGAGGGAGGAGGTGGTCTGTAGTGTTTGAGGAAAACGGAGAGGATTTAGGGTGACAAGGGGGAAGAACTTAGGGTGACGAGTGACTGGAGGACAGCTGGAGGGCAAGGGGATCGTTTCCACTGGCGCCGATCTGTGTGGCGGGGTGACTGTCAGTGAGCCCAGAGACAACAGGTGGACCCGGAGGGAGAGCTTTTGCCACCCCCAACCTGCAGTGAAGTGTCTCTCCTTTCCCCTGGTCTTCAGAGGGGCAACTCTGACACCTGCTGGAGAGTCTGGTCATTCCAGCGAGAGGCACCAGAATGAGCATTGAAAGCGCAAAGCAAGCCCTGCATGGAGCTGGGTTGCAATGAGAAGCATG